GCTTTCCCACGGAGATGCCAGATAGAGTGGATGTGACCAGACCTGTGACCTGGAGAGGCTGACCACATAGGGCTGGGCAGATGGGGTCCAAATCCTGCTCGACCACCTCTCCCCTTGGCAGCCCTAAGAAAGTTGCTGCCTGGTTGTGGTGGCTGTGTCCTCACCCATGACCGCAGTGTCTGCAGTCCCCACTGGTCACAGAGTGGGACACTGGTATGCTCAGAGAATGAGACACAAACTGTCCCGGGGAGACGGCTGTGGCTGAGACCTTGCATGTCGGGGGCTCCCTGGGGTCCTGACGAAGGCGTTCCGGCTTCACAATGTTATTCACATCACCTTGTTTGTCAGAGGGTGATGGGAAAGACCCTTCTGAAAGGGAAATAGGAGGCTGGGCTTCAGCAGTGTTGTCCAGGCAGAGAGCCACAGCTGGGCATGCGTGAGAAAGAGTGACGGCAAGTGGGGAGGAGGCAGTCAGGGCAGAGGGGTGGCTCTCGCAGAACAGGCCAGCTCCAAGGGCGAGTTCTGAGAGTCCATAGGCTGCCAAGGTGCCTGCGGCTGTTGAGTTGGGGCCACATTGGGGCATAAGAGCTGAGGTTCTTGTCAAAACCCACGGAAAAGGAACAGGTGGGCTGGACCGGGCTGAGTCGCAGGGGCCATGAGAACTCATCAGTGGGCAGTCTTGGGTCGGTCACTTTCTGGAGCCGCTGAGAGTGCAGGAGTTGATGATGGGCCAATGTAGGTCTGGGGATGGAGGAGGGGAGGCGAGTTTGAGGACAGAGGCACCCCCAGCTGGCTGGGGAAGTCTGGGCAGGGCAATGGGAACAGAAGTGGGGCGGCAGGGCTGGGCTTGCAGGGGTGTGGGTTACAAGGCACGGTGGGCATACTTCATGGGCGGCTCACTGAGGAGTGAAGGGCTGAGGGCTCTATGCACACTGGACTGTCAGGTGGAGCTCACCAAGGGCATGGAGGGCAGGTGCGGGGAAGTGACCCCTTGAGACCCAGTGTGCCTGAGCCAGCAAGTGCTACTGTCAAGGTACCAGGCCAGGGCATCTGTGGTTCAGCTGCTGGATGTGTGTGTTGCAACTTCACTTCCTGCACATGTAGGGGTGTGTGTGTGTTTGTGTGTGTGTGTGTGTGTGTGTGTGTGTGTGTGTGTGTGTGTGTGTTGGGGGGAACCTCAAGATGGGTGCCGAGCTCTAGTAGTCCCCCTGTGAGATGGACCTGAGTTAGCATGCCATCCACCACCTGACTGGCACAGTTCCCTGCTCTGACTGGTGGGTCATAGTGATGGTCAGGGCCTCCCCGGACCAGGTCAGGCTCAGCATGAAGTAAAACTGGAAGAATCCACTTGTTATTTCCCCAGGACACAGTCACCTTGGGGAAAACCACAGGTCCTAGGAACAAAGGCCTGGTGCAGGGGCCTTCCTGAAGGAGGCCCAATTGTCCCTTTTTGTTTGTTTGTTTTAAGGAAATTTAAAACCCTGTGTTAAACCCAGTCATTGTCCAGCGTTACACTATATTTTCTTAGAATTGTAGTTACTCTCCTTGACTTTCAAGGGAGTTATGTCTCAATTAGCCTGTGGGAAGACAAAAGTGCATCCATTCACCGGCTGGCCTGCAGCTTCTCCTCCCTCCAGGCGTTCCACGACAGCGGGGCAAACCATCAGCCAAAGTCTATTTCATAATGACATGTTGCTGTCTCCTGCAACTTGTAGAACGCTGCTCTGAAAATGAACAATAGGGCTTCTGTATGAGTAGGCTTTCGTACGTATGTGTTTTTATTTGAAAGGCACAGTTACATGGAGAGAGAGAGAGCGAGCGAGTGAGCAAAAGAAAGATCTTCTTTCCACTTGGTTCATTCCCCAAATGACCACACAGTCGGAGCTTCTTTAGGGTCCCCCGCATGGGTGCAGGGGCCCAAGCACGCATTGGTGTGTTAGCAGGGAGCTGGATCTGAAGTGAAGCAGCCAAGTCTCACACTGGTGCCCACACAAAATGCCAGCACTGCAAGTGGCAGCTTTATATGCTCTGTCACCACACTGGCCCCTATCATGAAATTTCAATATTGTAAGAACCATAAATTGGGAGCCATCTGTATGTTATATAAACTGTATTGAACGAACGAAGTTGGGAACCAGTGTTGTGGTATAGTGAGTGGATCCAGACCCTCTTCAGAATGCCAGTCCAAGTGCCCACTGCTTCGCTTCGGGTTCAGCTTCCTACTGGTGCATCTTGAGTGGGTGATGGCTCAGTGGTCGGGCACCTGGAATCCACATGGGAGACCTTGGCGAAGTTGTGGGTTCCTGGCATTTGGCCTGGGATATTTGGAGTTTGTGGCTATTTGGAGTTTGGATGTAGATGGAAGATCAGTTTCTCTTTTAAGTAGATGAAAACAAACTTGTAAGCATTTATGCATTTTAAGCAGGCAGCAAATACTGAAAACTTGGCCCTTCCTGCTCATCTTCCCACCTTCTACCACATTCTATGCAGGCAGTTATGGCATGGAGAGCTTCTCTGAGTGCAGTGACCTTGGGCTGGTGACTTGAGAGGAGCAAAGACCCTGAATGAGGGCCCCGTCTATTGTTTTATGAACTGTCTACACTTAAGATTGAGTGACTGGGTTGGTAAACTGCATTATTTTAAGTAGAATGCTGCCTCCTCGGTTGTCATTTTGTACTTAGCGCAAACTATTGAGGGAGCAGCTGAGCCAACCAGCAGGTGGTTCACGTGCTCCATGTGAAGGCATGATGCCCACTGGGGGATTTAAACAGAGACATCAGCCAGCCTCTCACACACCAGGTTCAATGGCAGCTCCCTTCCTGGGGAGAGAGTCAGCAGAGATTGGGCTGGGAGAGGAGGCTGCCTTGAGCAATGCTGTAGGGCTGGAAGGGTTGTGAGGGTCCATGGGGGTCAACCTCTCTGAGGTCAGGAAGGTTGAGGTCAGCCAGGTGGTGCAGGGGAAGAGAGAGATGGGTTGACCGTGGCTTTGCTGTGGAAGGAGAATGAGCAGGGAGCTGAGTGTACAGGCAGGGAGAGAGAATACGAGGGCCAGCAGGACGCATGTACAGAGGTGTCACTGCGGCTCCCAGGGGAGCTGGCAAGGAGGCGAGGCAGGAGGTGACAGACATCAAGCCCAGCAATGACAGGTGACAAAGGATGGCAGGGGCCCACAGGGTCTGAAAATAGTGACAATGAGGGGGTTGCCTCTGCGGAGGATGGCACAGCGTGAAGATGCCAATTCACAAACAAGCACTTGTGAAGGCAGGAGGGAAGGGCCCGTGAGCAGCCAGGGTCCCCTGCTCCCCCTTGGGACTCAGTGGGGTGGGGGAATGGAGAAGTAACCACTGCTGTGCAGGTTGCAGGGGAGAGCCATGCGGAGCACACTTCTGTGGGCAGTGAAGGTCAAGGACTCCCTGGAGAGGAATGGAGGATGCTGAGCAGGTGGTGGTGCCTAGGGTGGACAGAGTTAGGAGGACTTGATATGGGGATGATGTCTGTGAAACCTGGGGTTCCTCATGGACAGGTGAGGAAGGGTGTGTCGGGGTGTTCAGCTGCCAAGAGGTCGATGGTGGTGGTGAGGATTCTGACAGCAGCTGCAGAGGTCTGGGGGCTCCTCTGCTTCCTGTGTGTCCGTGGGGATATGCGTTTGCTGGTAAGGGTGTGGTGGGTGTCCAAGAGCTCAAGCAGGACCTATGACTGTTGGAGCTGACCATCGTCACCATCGTCCATGGGGGCACTGGTTTGGGGTGGTGGGACACAGTGGCCAGGGCAGGGATTGAGGGAGGGTCTGGTGTCTCCAGTGGATTCACTGCATGGAGGCTCTTAGGGGACCAGGAAAGGACAAAGGCAGGGGGTATGTCAGAAGATCTGGGAAATCTTGGCGGTGCTGCAGACAGCTGGACATGGACTTGGCCTTGGGGTAGATGGTTCTGCCATGAAGCTTGATGATGGACAGCCCCGATGTACAAGGGATGAAAGAGCCCTGGCAGGTTGTGCCTTCACGTGCAGGGCCTGGCCCAGGGTGGCACACAGTTCAGGTTTATTCCGGGATGAAGTGTGAGATGCTGCCCCCATGGGCAGGGCGTCCTCTCTGAACCTGTGGCCCTGGAGGAGTAGTGTGGCATGGAGTGGCCAGAACTCCCAGCTTCCGAGCATCCAGGGCCTGTGGTGGGACATTGAATAATGTGGCCGTAAGGTGCCGCATCTCCACCAGGCAGCATCTGAGCCTGGGAATCCACTCACCCATGAACAGGTGTTTATTAAGCACCTATTTTGTGTCGGGCATTAGCCTGAGACCCGAGGATCCGGTAGCCCTCATGCACCGGCCTAGCAGGAGAGAAGGCCAACACACAGACTTGAGCAGCGGGGAGACGAGGTGGCCAAGGGGCTCACTGAGAAGAGGATATGTCAGTGGAGTCCTACAGCGGGTGAAGGGGCAGCCCAAAGGGGACAGTGGGTGCAAAGGCTGTGAGGTAGGACAGCCTCGCGTCTTCAGGGAACAGCACCGGAGGCCAGTGTAGTGGGCACAGCGTGTGTGCGGAGAGGGCATGGGGAGGTGGCCGGGCAGGCAGGAGAGGACTTGCAGCCGTTGTGAGAATTCTACCCGCTTTAACCTGGTTGGGTAAAGATTCCTAACATGATCCTACTCATGTGTGCAGAACAGAATGGAGTGGGTGTGGGTGGGTCTAGGCGAGCAGCACCAAGGCGTCCGGCCAGTAGGCTCATGGCAGCTTAAGCCACAGTGATAGCAACCAAAGAAGTGGGGATTGGTCAGACAATGGCCTCCCTGTGGGGCTGGAGGGCTTGGAAGTGGCCGACTTGGAGGAGACTTGAGGGTGCGTTGCCCAGGGTTTTCCCAACTGTGGCCCTGGCATGGGGGTGAGAGCTGGCAGGAGGTGCTGACAGGGCCAGCAGCCCTAGCCCACCACCCACTGTGGTCGTCCTCTGAGTACCACCCCCCACATCTGCCCCCATCTCTTCCTCTCTCCTCTCCCTGGCAGGGATGTACCTGAGGGTGCCAAGACCTTTGGGATCTCGGGGAGCTCAGGAGTGCAGGTCTTCGTGGTCTGTGACCCCAAGCGTGTGCCAGAGCCTGCAGGCAAGACCCACTGGCCGCTGGACAGCAACATGGATGTGATCTTATCCGTGGGCACAGCCAGCAAAGATTTAAATGACCTGCAGGTAAGAAGCCACTGCACCCGTGTGGGGCTGTCTCTCCCACCACCCCAGCTTCATCCAAGGTGGGAGCCTCCTGTACAGGGCAGGGGCTGGGGCTGTATGGCTGCAGGCAGAGCCCTGTGTTTGCGCCTGGTCTACTAGGCAGTCTGGGTAAAAAACCCAGTAAGGGTCCTGGATTGGAGAAAGAGCTCTGAGACCCTGACTGGGATGACAAGGGTGGGGACCATGTGTCCCATTCTGTAGATGGAGAGCTGATGGCAACTGTGACAGCTGGTTCTTTTCCCAACGTACCACCCTAATGTCAGTGGTTTATCCCGGGGCCAGCCTCCTCCACACCCCACCTTGTTCTCAGACCAAAACCTGGGAGGTAGGACAGCAGCCACAGCCTCCAGCTGGGAACCCACCCTGGTGCCCCTGTCTCAAGGGCCCCTGGAAGCCCTTGGGGCATCCACACCCCCTCTCCTCCCAGTGAGGCTATAGGCAGTGACCCCACATACTCCGCCACTGCCATGACTGACAGGGCAGCCTCTCTGTGTTCACAGGTGAAAGTCTCTTACTTCGGGCAGCAGGAGGCAGGTGCCCTGGCCCATGGGGTACTCTACCTTACTGGCGTGGGTAAGTACTGCCTCCTTGGGGGACCCTTCCACCTCTGGGCTGTGGAAGGTCCATGGCCAGTGTTCCCTTCCACCACGATGGGCACTTAAGCTAGAACATACATGATCAAGACCAGAAATGCTTAGGGAACCTGGGCAATACGTTCTTGTACAGATGGAGGCCAATGACAGACTAATATTTCAACTGTGAGCCTGCCCATGTCAGGAGCAAAGATGTCTTGTGGCCCAGAGCCGGGAGTGTGGCAGGTTGCATGGAGTTCACTCCTTGGAGAGTCATACATACTCATCAGAAGTCTTGGTGATGGGTGCACCTGCCCACCGCAAGGCATCATGCAGGTTACATGAGTTGTCTGGTGAGCTGAAGGTGGGGATAAGGTTTACGGAGAGGAGGTTGGGTTTTTGAGGTGATAAAGAAGGTAAGCGTTCCCAGCTTGTGTGCAGGCAGGCGCCTCAAAGCGCTGCCACTGGCAAGAATAGCTGTTGGCCTGTCTGCTACCCTGTGCCTGTCTGTAGGAACCTGGCTGCTCTACTTCAGGCCCAGCCAAACGTGGGGCATTTTCTGTGAGAGTATTCTGTAGGGCCATGAAGGATCTAGAAGGATCTAGAAACTTCACTGCCCACGACTGGACAGCTGGAGCCATGAGTCGCACATGTCCCTTCTGTGGACACCAGAACTGGGGTCCCTGTAGCCCAAGCCCAAGGCGCTGGCTCCAGGAACGACAGTGCCTAGAACCCAGGGCGAGTCCCCAGCTGCTTGATGGCTCAGTCACCAGCAGAGACTCCGGAAGGTCCAGCCCAGCAGAGCTAGCCACTCAGTACAGACACCAACAAGTGGCTTAAGAACCAGAGATGCAGGGCAGCTTGTCATCCACACCCAGGACTAGGGAAGAGGCCACCACGCCTCCCGTGGCTGGACATGGGCTCTTCCCAGGCTGGTTCCCCAGGCTTGGGTTGGCGGGCTGGGGGAGACCCTATCAGCCCCTCCCTGTCCCTTTCCAGATGTCTCCCTTGATGTGGACTCGGGCCGGACTGGCAGGATAAGGAGGAACCGCAGGGACAAGGTGAGAGCTTTGTGCTGACCCCAAGAAGCAGACTGAAGGACAAGTCTGCACTCACCCTCTGGGTCTCTCTGGGGTTAGGGTTTTTCTGGTTTTTGTTTTTTTTTTTTTTTTTTTTTTTACTCACTCCCTCTGCTGTTTGCTGGGCTGGTTTTAGACCCTGACACACAGTAGGGACTTTATAAAAAGCTGTCATGATGGTCAGTCCAAGCAGACCCTGAAGAGGAAGGAAGAAGAGGTGGGTTTACGGTCAAGGCAGGGCAGGATTGCTGTGGACTGTTGGGCAGGCTGCACAAGGACGCCTGGGCTCTGGTACAGGATGGCACCTACCCAAGGGCTGGGCTGAGCTCCATTTAGGCTGGCAGTGAGCTTAGAGAACTGGCGCTGAAGGCTGGCTGGGCAGGAGGCTCACCTGGCTGGGGTTCTCTTTCTTCCTGGGGGCCACGACACGAGCCCTGGCTCTTAGGTCTGGAGCAGAGAAAGTGGAGGTGGATGGGGCAGAGTGGCAGCTGCTGAGGTTGGTGGGGCCTGGCCGTCTTTCCCTCTGTGGCATGGATCTCGGCTTGTAGGGTCTGTGGAACAGAGAGACCCAGCCTCTCCCCTGCATTCAGGGCAGGAACGGAAAGTGAGCTCAGCTGAGTCTCCAAGGTCATTTCTGGGTGTGGAGACGTTGCCACTGCTCCTCCAGGGCCCCTGTGTGTGGTGCGTATGGTCGTACACGGTGCATTGTATGCAGTGTGTATAGTCCTGTTGGCATGCATCTTGCTCACTGCACGAGGCTGGGGTGACCCTGGCTCTAGAGTCCTGCCTGGAGCTCCAGGTCCCAAGTCTACCGTTCCTCTATAAATCTTTCAGCAAAGCCACAATTTCTGTCTCCAAGCCAATCAGGTGGGTCCGCTGACTCCCACATCTTTTTTTTTCTTTGTAAGATTTATTTATTTTTATTTGAAAGGTAGATTTACAGAAATAACGAGAGAGAGAGAGAGAGATCTCACCTGTTAGTTCACTCCCCAGATGCCTGCAATGGCTGGAGCTGAGCTGGTCCAAAGCCAGGATCCAGGAGCTTTTTCTGGGTTTCCCATATAGGTTCAGGAGCCCAAGGACTTGAGCCATTCTCTGCTGCTTTCCCAGGTCACAAGCAGGGAGTTGGATGGGAAGTGGAGCAGCCAGAGCACGAACCAGCACCTATATGACATTCAGTGCTTGCAGGTGGAGAATTAGCCTGTTGAGCCACCATGCAGGCCCCTCCTATGCCTTCTTATTTGACCATAGAGAAACTGGCGCTGGGGCCCTGAGGGCCATGGGGCTATCCTGCTGGTAAACTGCGACCGGGACACTAGCAGGTCCAAGGAGCCCGATCTCAATGACAGCCAGCTGACGTCAATGGCTGGTGAGTACAGAGGTGCAACAGAGGTGGCCAAGGGTGGGGGTTGGGGGGAGGAGGAAGGGCAGGAAGGAGGCCTGTTGGGGGACAGAGAGATTGTGTCAAGGGGGACCCTCTCCCCAGACCTCAAGGACATGTCCCCGATGGTGCTGAGCTGCGGTGGCCCCGATAACATCTTCGACAGCCACAAGCTGATCTTGAACGTGTCCTTGCCTGATGCCAAACGGCTCCGGGTCTTCTGTGCTCGGGGTAAGCGGCCTGGGATGGAGGATGGGCTCTGCCATGGTACTCCATTCATTTCCTCCCTCTCTGTCTTTCCTGCCCTCCCCTCACTGCTGCATCACACACCAGGGATCCCCAATAGCCACAGCCTCAGAGCACAGCCTGGTGCCCCAGAAGGAGGCACAACTAACCCCATTGTACAGGGAGAAAAATGGAGGCACAGATGCATGAATTCACAGTCACCAACCAACCGGAGCAGAGCAGGCATTTGAGCCCCAGGGCCTTGGGCACCAAAGCCCTTCTTTTCACTGCTCGGGATTGGTTTCCTTCTCTGCCTGCCAAGGACTGACCAGTGGGGCAGGAGGAGTGAAAAGCAGAGAGGCTGTAACCCAAGCTCTACCCATCCATCCTCACTGCCCTGCCAGAGTTCCTGTGCATCAAAGCCAGTGGCTTAAAAAATGCACTGATCCTCACTTATTTGATTTTAAAATAAAAATGTATTTTATTTATTTGAAAGAGTTGCATACACACACACATAAACACACGAGAGAGAAAGAGAGAAAGATCTGTCCGCTGGTTCACTCCCCAGATGGCTGCAATGGCTGAGGTTGGGCCAAGCCAAAGGCAGGATCCAGGAGCTTCTTCCAGGTCTCCCATGTGGGTGCAAGGTCCCAAGCACTTGAGCCATCCTCTACTGCCTTCCCAGGCGCATCAGCCAGGAGCTGGGTCGGAAGTGGAACAGCCAGGATTGGTGTGTGATGCCTGGGCAACACCAGCCCCATTTGATGCATTTTAAAGTGACCACTTCAGTAGCATTTGGCCAGTTGGCACTTCCTATCCCCTCCTCCGCCCTCAGCTGCTTCCTGTCCTGCTTGTCTCCTGTTCTGGATATTTCCGGTAACCTCAGTCAGACGTCACATGGCCTTTTGTGTCTGCCTCTGTTCACTCAGCATTGATGTCTCCGGGGCTCCTCCTGGCACAGTGGGAATGCATACACTGGGTAGAGAATTTTGTGTTTTGTGCCCTCAACTGGCGCCAGGCACTGCAGCCATTTCTGCCTTGTGTCAACGGTTTTTTCTCCACGTAGTTCAGAGTTCTCGCTGGCTTCCTGAGAAACGGGCTATGGCCCATTTCACAGATGAGGCACTGAGGCTCAGCGGGGTTGAGTTACAGAGTTACAGTCCCATGGCTTCTGTGGGGCGCAGTTGGAGAGCAGCCAGCAGCTGGAACTCCGAAGGCAGCTCTGCCCATGAGCTGCCACTCCTGGGCTCCTGTCCTGCTTTCCTGGAAACCCCACAGCTCTGCCCACCCTGGAACTGGCCCCTGACCTTGGCTCTCTGTAGGTGGGACGGCCCTCTCGGACTACAAGCAGGTGCTGGGGCCCTGGCACCTGTCCTATGAAGTGGAGCGGCAGCCTGGGGAGCAGGAAGTCCGGTTCCATGTGGAAGGGCTTGCCTTCCCTGATGCCGATTTCCCTGGCATGGTCTCCCTTAGCGTCAGCCTGCTGGATGCAAGGGTACGTGCAACCTTGGCTGGGGCTTGGGGTACCAGGTTGGAGGTAGCAGGGCTGGGCAGGCCAGGGCTCCCCGGAGGCCACTGAGTCCTCACTGCCCACCCCCCGCCCCTGCCCAGACCCTGCCCGAGGTGCCCCTCTTCACAGAGAGCGTGACCTTCCGCATGGCCCCTTGGATCATGACCCCCAACACCCAGCCCCCCCTGGAGCTGTATGTGTGCAGGTGAGGCTGCCCCCACCCCTTCCCCACACTCGTCCCTCCATCCCTGGACCTGGAGCGGTAGGGAAAGGATGCTGGCTGCTCCATAACTCAGACTGGCTAAGAGCTGGGCTGGGGACAGAAGCAGGTGGGCATGGCCACAGTCATTAGTTCCAGTCCCCACCTCCAGGCCACCGTGTAATCCCACAGCAGCAGCCCTGATGGGTTTCGCCTTGGCAGTAGGGCAGCCCCAGGGGACCTTGCCTCCCTCTCATGTGGACACTGAAGACACAGGGAACCAGCCTCCAGGGGCCACCCTGAGCCTGGCCCCAGCCCTGGACCTTCCGCATCTCTGAGAATCCTGGAGGAAGCTTGGTGACAAGGCCCCACCAGCAGTTAGAGCAGTGGCAGGGACCACAGCTGGTCTGCACTTAAGTCCAGGGCTGTGTGGCTGAACAGGTTTGCTCTGTCGACCTAGGTCCAGATGTATGCAGGTGCACCAAAGGAATTTGTTCTTCCTGTTTGCTCACTAGCAGCATGTGAAACCCTGGGCCTAGGCAAGCTGCAAGGTGCAGGAGCATCCGGGGCCACCGGCCTCCTTCCTATTACCTGCACCAGTAAGATTCAGCCCGGGTCGTGTCCAGGGCCACCCCTAGGATTGCCTGAGCCAGTTTAGGTGCCCTGCCTCTGGACCCCACAGCCTGTGTATAGCAGTCATGTCATGCCTGCTACATGATCTGAGGACATCTTCAGGGTGAACCCCAGGAGCCTGGAGCTTGTCAAGGGCAGGGACCGTATCTGTACCTCTGATTCCGGTGGGCCACACAGAGCTCAGTACAGGCGGACTCCAGACCCCGCCAGTTGTCCCTGCTTCAGCCACGGTCAGAGGCCACGGCCACGCTCCCGTCTCCCTGTCTTGCAGTGTAATGGACTCGCACGGCTCCAATGAGAAGTTCCTGGATGACATGGCCTCGCTGGCACGCCAAGCCGACTGCAAGCTGGTCATCTGCCCTCGCGCAGAAAACCGCAACGATCGCTGGATCCAGGTGACACGGGCACGGAGGCCAGCAGCCCGCACCTGCCACCTCCCCGCCATGGCCTTAGCTGGGCTTGGAGTAGGGGAGCCTGCACAGGGTCCTAACAGGCTTCGGGTTCCCTGGAGAAGCCTTGACACCCCTCCATGCCCCCTCTCTCATCCTCGGGGAGGATCTACTGAGTCAGCTCCTGCCCTCTAGTCCCAACCCCTGCAACTCCCTCCAAATGCCCTGGTCGCAAACCCAGACTTCTCCTGCCTGGGGCTGCTGGTGGCTTTGGCTTCTCTCTTCTGGCACACACCGCCCCCTGCCTGGGTGGGGTGAGGGGTCCTGCTGACTCAGCTCTGATAAAGCTGGGGGTCACCTGCTCCCACAAGCACCTGGGCAGGTTCCAGCAACCTTCTCTCCTTGCCCCTCCCAGGACGAGATGGAGTTTGGCTACACTGAGGCCCCCCACAAATCCTTCCCTGTGGTCTTCGACTCGCCCCGCGACAGAGGCCTGCGGGACTTTCCCTACAAGAGGATCCTGGTACATGACAAGGGGCAGTGTGGGGAGGCCAGTGGTCCCTCCTGCAGGAGCCCCCAGAGAGGCCTGCCCTGGGAGGAAGGGAGCGCTCAGACACAGGGAGTGGGTATTGGCCAACTGGACAGCCAGGGAGAGGTTGGGGCGGGGATGCAAATGATATGCAAACTGCACGCTAATAGTCGGCAGTCCTGGTTGTCTCCTTCCTGGGCCTCTAGAGCGGGCTATGTTGAGCTGCTGTTTTCCAAGTGAAATTTCATGCCTTGGGAGACCAAGCTGCCTTTAAGGGGAGTGCATCCCTAATGAGCCCTTAGGGCTCCCTTTTTTTTTTTAAGATTCATTTTTTATTTGAAAGGCTTACTTATGAAGAGAGAAGGAGAGATAGAGAGATCTTCCATCCATTGCTTCACTCCCCAAATGGCCACAATGGTCAGAGTTGAATCAGGTCAAGACCAGGAGCCACGAGCATCTTCCAGTTCTCTCACGTGGGTACAGTGTCCCAAGGCTTTGGGCCATCGTCTGCTGATTTCCCAGGCTCAAGCAGGGAGCTGGATCAGAGGTGAGGCAGCTGGGACTTAAACAGGTTCTTTATGGAAAACCAGGCACTACAGATAAAGGCTTAACCTACTGTGCCATGGTGCCAGCCCCAGGGTCCCTGTTTTTAAAAACCAGAGCCTCTCTCCTCCGGTGGCAGATGTCTTCTGAACACCTACTGTGTGTGAGGGACCGTGCTACCTCTTGTGCTCAGTTTGGCAACAGCTGTGCCTGCCATTGTGTCTAGAGTTCCTCGCACCAGCTCCCTTGGCATGCCACCGGCTACCTCAGTTAATCCACAGGCACTCCTTAAGAATGGAGAGGCTGAAGGTTAAGGAGGCGAAGTCACTTGACCAAGTTAGGGGTGACATCAAGATACAGCCGCAGAGGGGCCACCCCCACAGCCCCCAGCCCTTAAACAGCAGGCTGCACAGTCTATGTACCGCCCCCACCCACCCACCAGGGACAGTGCGGTCCAGGGGGCAGCTGTGACAGGGACGCCCACTGGAGACATTTCCCCGGCTTGGAGAGGTCAGGCGACAGTGACTCCTTCACAGTGAGTGCTTAGGCAGCGGGCAGCGGGCACCTGGCTCCAAGCCGCAGGCTCCACCTGTAGGTGCCATGGGTCTACCCGGATCTGACCTGCCACTTCTTTCGCTTCCTTTGCATTGAGTTTGCTGTTGTTTTCCAAGCTGGTGATGGAAGCTGACGTGATGTACAGGGTGCTTCAAAAAAAATTCATGGAAAACGGAATGAAAAGATAAGTTTGCTTTAGTGTAAAAAAAGATCTATGCATCCAAGGAGGCTGTCCAAAGGCTGATAGAAGAAGGGTGGGTGTTTTGCTGGCACCGCAGACACCTACATCTCACAGGAGTCTGATGCCCAGTGATGGCTGTGGGTATTGAGTCCTGCCCCCACGTGGGAGCCCAGCTGGCCTGAGCCCCTGGCACAGCACGAGCTGTTTCAGGCATCTGGGGAGCAGTGAACTCCCATGCAGGAGGTTGTCTCTTTGCCCATTAGTCTGTTTCTCAATCAAAACAAACACTCCTGGGTAAGGCCTGTGAGGTCTATGACAAGGTAGGTTTGCAGCAATTTCAACATCTTTTGTGCCAAAATCAACTTATCTTTTGGTGTCACCCCCCCCTTGAATTTTCTGATGTCCCTGGTTTATGCTGGGAGCTGTCTCACATGAAGATAGGGCGATTCAACATCAGGGGCCCTTGGACGTGGGAGTGTGGCCTCTGGCTGCAAAGCATTGCCATGCCACCACCTCAATAATCTCAGCGTGCAACTTCTGTACATGTGGAAACCTTGCAGACGGCCAAGCGTGGTCTCTTCCTGTCCTACCTGACCCCTCCTCCTGGGGGCTGGGTCTCGCTGGTCCTCCCCTAGGGTCCTGATTTTGGCTACGTGACCCGGGAGATCCTGCTTTCTGGCGCTTCCAGCCTCGACTCCTTTGGCAACCTGGACGTGAGCCCTCCTGTCACCGTGGGCAGTGTGGACTACCCCCTGGGCCGGATCCTCATCGGTGGCAGCTTTCCCAAGTGAGAGGCTGGGTGGGGCGAGGGTGGCACAGGGGCCCCAGGCGCCTGGTCGCCAACAGAGCAACCCCCTGCAACACCCTCAGGTCTGAGAACCCATCTTAGTTTCCTGCCAGGAATCACCAAGAGACCCTGGGCCTGGCATTCCGTAGAATCTTAGCTCAGGGTCCTGAGTAGGGGCAAAGCCAAGAGCCCCTGACTCTCCCCCGCAGAAGCCCTGGCAGCTCTGGGAAAGGGGCACACTATGTGGCACCCAGGCAGGGAAGTAGACTTGCTGAACTCTCCCATGAGGAAGCCCAGCCAGTTGTGACCTCGCGATGGCATGAAAGCGCCCAGAGGTCACTGGGTGCCCAAGTCAGGTGGCTCAGATGAGGCAGTGTTTGGCCAGGCTACCAGGGTGACAGAAACGACTTGGTGGGTCCCACCCTGGATGGCAGTGATGGGGCAGGAAGCAGGTATTCGGGGTTTAGTACTCCAACCGCTGACCGCCTCTGATGGAGTTGAACTTGTCCACACCCTCCTGGATAACCAAGGAATGGGGTGGGTACTTTGTTTCCTGCTTTGAGACTTACCCCAACCAGCGCCAGGTGCCATTCTCCTGATGGGGGTCGTGTGGAGCCTGGACATGACCCAATGGCCACCTCCTCCCACCCCCTCGGTTGGCCTGTGGTCTCAGGCTCAGAGAGGTCAGGCAGTGCTAAGAGGGTCACACAGCCTCAAGCCGGCAGGCTCAGGTCTATGGATTAGGTGAGGTGGGGTTGCCTGGTAACAACCCAGGCGGGGAGCAGGTGCACAGGCTGGTGCCTGGGGCTGAGGGTGTCCGGGGCGAGAGGAGCGGGCTTGACAGCCTGGTGACTCACACCTTGACACACACGGGGGCCGGATCCTGCGCACACCCCTGCATGGGGGCACCCAGGGAGCTCTCCTGCGACTTTTGGGAGGGGCTTGGAACCAGGCCGACCTGGGCTTAAGTCCTGGCCTTACTCTTTGTTAGCCAAGTGACGCTGGTGTTGCACATGTCACACACCAAGTGTGTGCCGAAGGGCCTGGCCCGTAGCAGGTTGGGTGACACAAAGATAGCAGGGATTTACTGGTGAACACACAGATGCACTTAAAGTGAATACTTTCTTTGATGCTGCTGTTCCATGCCTCAGTCTTCTTATCTACACAATGGGTCCATTTGCAATTCCCATCCTAGCTGTATGTGCAGCACCCATAGGGACAAAGAACCCACATCACCAGCATTTGAATGCCCAGCCGCTGCCCGCTGGACTGTGTATGTTGAGGTCCTCTGGGCAGTTGTGGCGCCCAGGCTGGCCATGCTGGCAGTAAAGGAGGGAGCCCAGGCCACAGGGGGCTGGCAAGCAGTTCCAGCCCCAGGTCATTGCTTAGAGGCACTTTCATGGGACTCAGCAGAAGCTTGGACCTGAGGCAGCAGAGCAGGGGCAGTGAAGAGCTGGGAAGGAGTTGGAGGGAGCAGGGCCATTCCCGGCAGCCTGGGAAGAGGTCTCCAGGGTGCTGAACTCAGGGGTCTCTGAGAGCTTTGCCCTTGCCCCTGGTCCAAGGCACCAGTAGGTAGACCGGGCAGCCAGGGGCGGGAGGGAGTGTGCAGCTAAGACCAGATAGGGTAGAAACTGACCTAGGACCACACAGTCAGGAGTCCTGGTCCTTTAATCCTCTGCCCGCAAACTAAACTTCAGCACGTGAACTGGCTTGGAACAAATACTGGATACTTTCCAGCAGAGGGCGGCAGCAGCAAACATGCGGGGACAAAGCCGGCCACTTCCCTGCTCTAAGCCTCATTTCCCTAATGTATAAAATAGGGCTGGTACTGGGCCTGGCCTCAAAGGTGACCCGGGCAAAGCGTGTTGGGCAAGTGCCTAGGAGGTGGTCAGGAAGCCTTGCCCACGCTCCATGCACTGGGCAGAATCTGACATACAAAACAAAGCCTTGACAGAGACAAGGGAGTTAAAGACGTGGCTCTTTCCGGGCAGGACGATGTTCTAGGGAGTGGAGTCTGCCTGTATCCCTGGCCTGCAGGTGATATCAGAGCAGCAGGAGGTGGGGAGGGGGCGAGGCTGGAGCTGGAGGGGCCAGGAGCGAGGTCAGTGCAGAGTGGACTTCACAGGACACTTGGCGTGGGGAACCTGAAACTCAGCACCTGTTCCTCTAGAAACGTTTTTTGCGCAACTCCTCCACCTAGCGGTGGCGTTGATAATGACTTCACCTTTAGGTTCTTGGGGCTAGAGTCGACCCGTCCATCTCTCTGCCCCCTCATGGACGGCTGAGGGACCCTTCTCCAGCCCCAGCATCACTTGTCTTGGGGCTCCTACTGCTTTTTTATAAACAACTTTCCAAGTCTTGTTCTCACACCTTCTCACCATTTTAGAAGAAATCCTGTGAAGTTCTCATGATTTAAAATAACAAATGCAAGGGAAAAAAAAAAGTCCCCCTAGCACCCCAACACAGGGTCCTCGTCCATCATTGCCTGGTGGGTCTCTGGCACACTCAAGTGCATGGGGGCCGGGGGCTGCGTGTTAAGGCAGTCAGAGGCTCTGATCCTGGGCAGCTCCTCCCCGGGAATGGCGGGGAGAAGGATCTGTCAGGTGTGTGGAGCTGTGGATGCGGCTGGGAACAGCCTAGGCAGAAATCCTTGCCTCCAGGAGCTCGCATTCCACAGGGTGGGAAGCAGGAATCTGGCGAGGATCAGCAAGGCCAGGTGGCCCCAGATGTCACCCCAGCAGCAAGGCTGGGGACGGTGTTAGAAGCTGGGAAGAGAGCGTGGGCAGGGCTGAGGAGTAGGGGGCTGAGCAGAGGGTTGGCAGGGGTTGCGGTGGGCATGCCGTTCAGGGCCGTGTGAGGCCTGGCAGGTACTGGGAGACGGCAGTGAGACTGAGGCTTCGGCCGGGTGTCCACGTGATCTGACCACATGGAGAAGAGCTTAAAATGTGTAATTAGAAAGGCAGAGAGGGGCTGGTGACCTCCCATCTCCCAGTTCACTCCCCAGGGGACCACGACCTCCAGGTTTAAGCCAGACTGAACAAGGATTTCAACCGGGTTTCCCAGGGGCGCAAGGACCTGGGCCGTCTTCTGTGGCTTTTCCAGGAGCATTAGCAGGGTGCAGAATCAGAAGCGGAATGGCCAGGACTCGAACCAACACTCCTGCATGGGGAGCTGATGTAGCAAGCAGCGCCTTAGCCTATGGCACCATGATCCAGCCCCAGCATCCTGACCTGTGTGTCACCCCCTTAGACCTAGCCTCCGCTGTCTGACCTGTGAAATGGGCACAATGGCTGCTTAAGGCACAGGTGGTGCCAGTCATGTCTTCTCCCAGAGACTCCAGTTCTGCCCTCTCCCCACTCCCTCTCCACAGTGGGAAGGGGGTCTGAGAGGCGCCCGTCCCCATGCAGCAGCTCCTGGGGGCGACAGGGACAGCATTCCCAGACCTCAGCATGAGAGGGACCGAGCTACTCCTCACAATGCAGATTCAGAATGTCTTGCCCTCCCTGTGTCCCATGGAACCCTGTCCTGGGACTCCTTCGGGCCCCATGGTGGGGGTCTGGGACAGGGGGCAGGCAGTCTGGACAGATAGCAGGTTCCTTGGGCAGTGCTAGGTCCGCTGGCACAGTGAGTAGGAGGCTGGAGCTGGCACAGGCCCGTCCTCCCCCGCATGCCCCCTGCAGTGTCCCCCATCACATTCCGCTGGTCCTGCCTGGAGCTTGGAGTCAAGAGTTTGTGCCCCATCATGCCTCAGCGACTTCAGCTGGCTCTGTGACTTTAGCTCAATCTCGCTGTTTGAGGGAGAGGGTGATGAGGTTATAGAGGGGAGGTTGGGTTGGAATTGTATACATGAAGTGCCCACTAGATGGCAGCACACAGCGGGTCCTGGGTGACTGCCCGCTCTGTCCATGGCCAGGTCCGGAGGGCGGCGGATGGCCAAGGTGGTGCGGGACTTCCTGAAAGCCCAGCAGGTGCAGCCGCCCGTGGAGCTCTACTCAAGCTGGCTGTCTGTGGGCCACGTGGACGAATTCCTGACCTTTGTGCCCACCTCCGACCCAAAGGTGCGTCACCACTTTCCTGGCCCTGCCTGGCTTGGTGCCTGCTCTATCTCATGGTCAGAGGGAGCTCTGAGTCTGGCCTGTTAATCAGGAGTGGCTTCTTGGAGGAAGGAGGTCATGTTTTTCTCACTCTTCCTGGAGTGTACTTGGATTCCCTGATTGAGACAGCCACTCAGCACCTGCTGTGTGCCAAGCACCCAGGGGAGGACCAGGTGCACCTGGCACACTCACCAGGGAGCCCTGCCTTGGCCCTCAGAGCTGGAGACATGCGTGGGTGCTGAGAGAGAGCTGGCGCTCCCTGGTGGGCTGTGTGGGGAGGGTCCTTCAGGCTGGGGGGCACCGGCTGGGAGGACGGATGTGGGGGTTGGCAGGGAGGATTTAAATGATTCCTTGGGGCTGGTGGATCGGATGGTGGGGAGGAGGGGGTGAGAGGACACCCCATGCCCATGCCCATGCCCAGCCTTGCTCCTGAGCGTGACCCCTCCCGGCTGAGTTTGGGGTGTCCTGAGAGCAGTCACTGAGCCATTCCGTCCCTCTCTGCAGGGCTTCCGGCTGCTCCTGGCCAGCCCCAGTGCGTGCCTCCAGCTATTCCGTGAGAAGAGAGAGGAGGGCCATGGGAAGGCACTCCAGTTTGAGGGTGAGCGACAGCTGCCTGGTACCCTGTGGGATCCAGCCCGCTCAGCATCACGAGGCCCCCATGGCAGTGCCCTCCGGGACAGTCCCTTCACCTGCAGGCCTCTAGCCTGGCTCAACACCCCACACCCCTGCTTCTGTGGACCTGGGCTCGCTCTTTCTCAGGTCCGGGTAGCCTGGATGTCCCAGGCGCTACCACCCTGCCGCCGATGGGTGGGTCACACCCCAGGAGAGGAAAGCAAACCAGAGTGCCCCTGGTGCCAGTCTGTGCCAGGCATCTCTTCGCTTCTCCCCCCCTTGGAGGCACTTGCACTGCCTGGGACTGCAGAGCAGGGGCGTGGAGAGGGACAAGATTTGGGGGTGCAGAGGAGGGGCCAGGCTGCAGGATCTGAGCCCCCTTCCTACCCTCCCAGCACCCCTCACAGCCTCAGTGCTACCACTGGGAGCATCGAGCCTCAGCCTTTTGCAGACTGGACCAGCCTGGGTTCAAAGCCAGGGCTGACCACTGGCTGGCCGTGGGAGGGGTCAGGCTTCCCGGCGCCTGCACTTCCTCCTCTCTCAATCGAAGGTCATAATTAACTCCTCTGAGGATTAATTGATTAAAGATTAAATGATAAGTTCAGTGGGGATCTGGGGGCACGGTGGGTGGTCAGCAATAGAGGCTATGCAATAACTATTAGGCTCTGAATACTGAAGTCCATGCCCTAGATGTAGCAATAGGTTTTACCTGCAGCCAGAGCCTGGTCCCTTCAGGGTCTTCACCTCTGGCTGGGTCCATCCCGGTTGCCCGGACCCTGACCCTGAGGTGGGAGAGAAATCCTGGCCTGGATTCCACAGCCCACGCCTGAGGAGGCCCCCACACAGTCCTCTCTGAACCTGAGCCCAGCCTTGGTCTTGCAGGATTAAAGCACAAAGCAAAGAGAAGCATTAATGAGATGCTGGAGGACAGACGTCTCCAGAGCGACAATCTCCATGCACAGGTGAGCCCAGTCTGGCATGCCAGCAGGGCTGCTTGCTGCTCTAAGGGGTTCCCAAGCCTCCAAGAAGGAGCTCCCCCAGGTTCTAGGAGGTGAGGTGGTTGGAGGGTTTGGCTCAGGATGTCTCATTGTCCTGGGAGCTGCTGGGATTTGTGGGTGGCATGGTCTCTACTCTCAGAAGCCCACAGTCTGATGGAAGAGCCAGGACCATGTTCTCAGGGGGCTCTCAATCTGATGGGGAGGTCTGCTCTGCTCCTGGGAAATGACCCATCCCTACAGGAGCAAACCTGGGAAGCAGGGGAGGTCGGAGGCTCCCAGTCGGGGGGGCACTGTGAGGGGGAAGGGGAAGGAGGACTCAGGAAGCGGCATGGCACCCCCAAGGATGCTGCCTCCTGCATGCAGAGCTCAGGGCCTGGCGCACGGTCCATGCGCAGTAAATGGGAAGAGGCCACCTGCCCCTTGCCTGGGAGGCCATGCCCTTGCTCCACAGCTGCCCATGTGAGCAGTGGCATGCATGAGCAGTGCCATGGCTGTGACTGGGACCCAGAACCTGCCCCTTCCCCCACTCCAGCTTTTATGCTTGCTCAACGCCCACCCATGCTCAGGTCCCTGTCTGAGATGGCAGTGGCTGCTGCCCCAATCAGGCTCCCTGGGGCTAAGGGATGCTTAGGCCAGGCACATAGCAGGTGTCTGGCACTAGAGCCTCCCTCATCCCCCTGGGTGCCTGGCTGCCTGCCCCGCCCCTCCCACCTCCAGAAATGCATCGACTGGAACCGCGAGGTGCTGAAGCGGGAGCTGGGCCTGGCCGAGGCGGACATTGTGGATGTACCCCAGCTCTTCACCCTGAAGGGCTCCTACGCAGAAGCCTTCTTCCCTGACATGGTGAGCTCTTGGATCTCGTGGGGGCTCCACCAGGACCGAGGGCACGTGGGCCCTGCCATGGGCATCATGCATGTATCTGTGTGCATGTGTTGTGTGTGTGTGTGTGCATGAGTGTGTGCCACTGTCGTGTGTGTGTACAGAGATCACTGCCACCGACAGTCCTCAAGCAGGGCTGATTGTGCCCCTGCTGGTTCACTTCCCACATGCCCACCATGGCTGGGACAGGGCGAAGCTGAAGCCAGGAGCCTAGCACCTGTTCCAGACCTTCCATGTGAGTGCCCGAAACCTGATTAGTGGAGCCGTTGTGGCTGCTTTCCAATGTCCCAGTAATAGAAAACTCAAAGAAGTGGTGGTCCCAAGCAGACAGGTGCTCCTGGCATCAGGTGGGCAGAGGCCAGCACTGCCATGAGCGCCCCTGCTGCACAGGACGGTGCCAGAGCAAGGGATTTCCCTGCCCACATAGCTGGAGAGCTGGGGGCAGAGAGATCCTGCCTCGGGGTCCCTGCCAGCACCTGGACGTTGGGATGGCTCAGCAAGTGCTGCTGTGGGAGAACTTGAACCCAGGCATACCTGTACAATATGGAGCATCTTAACTGCCAGGTCAAACACCTGCTCCCATTTGGCGTCTTTGGGTCCAAAGGAGAATGGGACAGCTGCTGCCCCGTCCCCAAGTCTCTCTTTTTCCAAAATCTCCCGTTGGTTCCCAGTGGCTCAGCCTTTGGTCCTTGGGTCCTGACTGCCCTTCCGCCACCCTGCTGGGGCTCTCCAGGGCAGCCCCGGAGTTGAGCAGCGGCACTGGTGGCAGCGGAGGTGGTGGCCTTTTTACTCTCATTAACCGGACAGCTGACAAGCAGATGGGCAGGAATGATCTCACTTGCTTGTCCCCTGGGAGGGGCCTGGGTGATGCTATCATTATCCCCCCGGGAAAGGAAGCCAGCTGCTGACAGCTGCGAGGGAGGCCCCTCTGCAGGTGACATCCCTGTGGTCAGACAAGTCACATGTTGGAGGTGAACCTGGGTCAAGATACAGCCTGGCGTACCAGGGGTGTCTATGGTAGAGCCGAGGGCCAAGGGCCAGGGCGCGGAGAGTTTGAGAGCCAGGCAGCCCAGCCTGACCATGTGGGTCCAGAGCCTTGTTTGACCTCTGGCCGTCAGTCTGGGGCAAAGATGCTGATGCAGAAATCCCCACAGTCCTGCCCTGGAGAGACGCCCCTGGCGAGCATCAGGCCCTAAGCCAGGTCCACACTGCAGGAAGTGGGGTGGGGATGGGGGAGCCATCAAGATGAACTCAGGTGGCTTCTTTTCGCTTTCCCCACTTCCTCATTCCCACAGGTGGCCACCCCTGGACAAGGTGCAAAGAGCAAGAGTCGGATCCAAATTCAAATTTTCATCTCATCCATCTTTGGCTATATGGCCTTGAGGGCGGGATTGTTTCACACTGTCCATGCCACAGCCACAGCGGGAGGCTGTGTGTGTGTGTGAGAGAGAGAGAGAGAGAGAGAGAGAGAGATTGAAGGTGCTCGATAAATTATTACAATAATCAGGGCTGCCAAGGGCAGTTAAGCAAGGTGTGTCGTGCAGCAGCGTACCACAGCTGTGAGGACATCCACTCAGGCCTTGTCGAAGCGTGCAGTTCTGGCCTAAGGTTCTAGCAGGTGGCGGTGGGAACGCTTGCTCTCACACAGGCCTTATAAACTCGTGATGTCCCTAGTAGGTGACAGAAAGCACTGGAGGAAGAAGTGGCTTTGATTTATACCAAGTGACTGTGTAGGTTGGCAGCCCTGGCCTGGATTGCTTCTCCCTTCCAGCCACACGTCGTTTTTTGTTTTTGTTTTTTTTTTTTTTTTTTCCTCAGCTTCCCAGACTCCTGATTCTGGGCTCCAGTCCTGCAGGCCCAGGAGTGCTGGCAGGGCTGGGACTGGCCCTGGGTGAGGGGTCAAGGGTGGGGGTGGCAGTAGGGTCCTCATGCACGCTTGAGTGGAGCCCCCACAGCTGGCAGCCTCCGTGTCTGTTACAGGTCAACATGGTGGTGCTGGGCAAGCACCTGGGCATCCCCAAGCCCTACGGGCCCATCATCAACGGCCGCTGCTGCCTGGAGGAGAAGGTGCGGGCGCTGCTGGAGCCGCTGGGCCTGCACTGTGTCTTCATCGACGACTTCCTCTCCTACCACGAGCTCCTCGGGGAGATCCACTGTGGCACCAACGTGCGTCGGAAGCCCTTCGCCTTCAAGTGGTGGCACATGAAGCCCTGAGCCCTGGCTCCTCACTGCGGGAGGGGTGGGGAAGCGCACACCTCCCCAGGGAGCTGGCGAGGGACCTTCCTTTCCATTGCTCCCCTTACCAGCCCAGTGCCTGCAACTGTGCTGGCCACTATAGGCACCAGGGCTGCAGCACGGACACCTCCACCCCCACCCTCACCCCCAGCCTGGACTCTGGAACCTGCTCCTCCCCACTCCTCCTCCCACACACCTCCTCCTCTCTACTGTGCCGCCCAGAGGTTCTGGGCAAAGGCCAACAGCCTCCCAGCATGTTTAAGAACGGCCAAGGGGCCTTGGCAGGTAGACCCCACCTGCCATACTCCCTGTCTGTTCTGATGTTCACCTGGGCATAAGGGGGAATGACTGTGGACTTGGCCAGGAGCAGGGCGCACGATGCCTGGGCTGTCTGCTCCCAAGCTGCTCTGGTTCTTGGACCGTTGCTGGGGAGATACAAGAGGTCCTCTTGGCTTGGTGGACTATGTTCTCTCGGGTCTTGCCTGCCCCTGAGGCTGTGACCCCAGCATCCTCCGGCTGTGTGTAAGCAAACAGGCACAGGACAGCTGATCCCAAACAGGAGTACAAGAGGCAACACAAACCCTTTAATCCCTGAGTCTGTCCTTAGCAGGTGCTTGTTACCGTTGGGTGAGCCTTTAATTAGAAGAGTCGGCTGTTTCTTCCGGTTCAAAACTGCTGAGAGGCAAAGCAAGGAAGAGGCCAGGGCAGGATTGGGGAGCAGGCAGCAGCCCCCTCCCTGCCCCCCAGAGATCTCGGGGCCCTAGCTCTGCTCTGAATGGAGCTGGCTATCTTGAGGTGGCAGGGGAAGGGCCCAGATGTTCAGGGCAGGTGGAGGTATTAGCATATCTTGAAGGCAGAGCTAATGTCCTCTCATGCTCTTTACATACCTCCCTTCCTTCTGCGGGCACTGGGAGGGGAGGAATTGCCAGGTCTCTCCCAGCACACTGAGGACCCTGCACGTTGCTTGGGTTCAGCTGTGACCCCTGGCAATGCTATGTCCCCTCCCACAGGGGAAGACACAGCTGTCCCAGAGGTTAACAGCCCCGGGTGAGGTCACCCAGATGTGCACAGGCAGGCTTAGCTGAGCAGGGACAGGAGGGAGCCAGCCTACTCCTGTCCCCCACCGGTTGGGTAGGGGCTACCTCTGCCCCTCTGTGTGGGCTTTTGGTGGTCCCTGGTGAGACCCCAGACCCCAGACTGAGCCGTGGAATGCATCGCACAGGCCTATATGGGACTGCAAGTGGGCAGGAAGCTGAGTCCCATCTGGAACCCCGTTGGCATCCCTGCACCTTCCACTTGGGATCAGGATCCAACCCAGGCTGAACCAAAGCTGAAGAAGCTTTTGCGAGGAGCTGGGGGCCAGGGTTGGAACTCCCCCAGAAAAAGGGCTGGGGCTGAGGAGGGCCAGGGAGAGGGGAGCCATGGAGTCCCCCTGAGGGGGTCACCCTGGGATCACTGCTCTGGCTGTTCTCTGTGTTGCAAATGCTCTGGATGATCAGCTGTCTCCTTCCGCATCAATAAAGACGTCCACCTATGTTTCTCGAATTTTTGCCTGTGCAGCCTCTATTTCCTGGGCTCCAGGGAGAAGAGGAGTGTGAGGGGTCTTGCGGGCCTCAGGCAGCCCCAACCCGGGTGCGAGAGAGTCCCCGGTGCCAAGTCTGAGGCCTGTGGTGGAGGGCAGGCTGACTCAGCAACATGACTGACACACACCTGTCACCCCTGGGGCCACCTGCTCTGCTGAGATGGCTATGGGGGTGGGCTGGGCCCTGCCGCTTCCTCCCTTCTGCCTTCTCTGGGCCACTTCCTCCTTCTGCAAGGGAAGCCGGGGGTGGGGCAGGGAAGGGGGACAATCAGTGTCAGCAGAGGTGGCAGATCGCCCAGGGCACAAGCCACTATAGTTCCTTTCATCTATGCCCCTGCTGCTGCTTTCCTGTGCAGCCTTGGTGGCCTGGTTTCTGTGAAAGCATCTCTTCTCCCACATCCTTACCACTGCCTCCAGCGACACCCTCGACACTTGCTCTCTTGATCGCTCTTTGTTTCAGCTTTTGTTGTGGACCAAGGGACCAAGCATTGCTGTCCGTCAGTTATGAACACTACTCTGAATGAGCCACAGACCTGTCTCTAAAAGCTGCTGTTACAAGGGGAGAAGCAAGGGCAGGGAGACACGGGGCTCTGAGATGGAGGCTGGCTCTGCCGGTGCACCCCCCACCCCCGACACACACACACACACACACACACACATTCCCCATGCACTCCCCAGAAGTGTTCCCTTGCCTGGGGCTCCCTCCACAGGCCAGCTGACAATGGCTGCCCTCTCCGGGAACAGGGACACACCATAGGCCCTGCCTGGGACCCTCAATGCCACCAGCCAGGAGAGCAGACCTCTATCTGGCACCTTTGGAGCCTCCGCCATTATCTTGGCCTGGGCCAGCAATGAGCCACATTTTCTGCAGATGAGGAACCGAGGCTCTGAGACAGGTGCATGGGGAAGCCTGGAGTGGCTTCCGAGACTCCTCTCCCCGGAGCTTTTCCTCCCTCCCTGCCAGTGCCTGAATCTCCCCTACCAAGCAACAGACCGAGGTGCCCCCTGGGCATCCGGCCAGGAAAGAGCTGAGGTAGGGTCCAGTTCTGCCTCTAAAATCCCTGGCACTCAGAAGGAGCTGGTGTTTCTTAAAGGGCATGAAACATGTTTTGGATGCTGGCAAAAAAAAAAAAAAATTTTTAATCCAGATGTTGGGCTACACTCCTAACCTCTGCCTTGGAGGTGGGGCCTGGAAATATGCATTCTCACCAGTTTCCCACAACAAGGTGGAAAGAGATTCCCAGTAAACCACCTTGTCTCTGAACTGGCAGAAAGGGATGCCCTGCCACCTTCACCAGTCCCCAGTGCCCTGGCCAGTACCTGTTCCAACTTGTTCTTGCAACAACAAATTAACTCCTTGGGTGCTGGGGCGGGGGGTAGGGAGGGGCAGGTAAAGGTTTAGATGCAAATCTGGGATCCCTTCCAGCCAATCCAGAACTCTCAGCTAGACTGGAGCCAATAGGCTCATCCCCTGGGCTGGAGGGGGCGGGGCTAAGGACTTTTAAAGCATCCCAAGGGGCACCTGGGGCAGTGCTGGGTCTGGTGGCCAAAGCCCAGCGCAGAGCAACCAGCATGTCACTACAGAGAATCGTGCGTGTGTCCCTGGAGCATCCCACCAGCGCCGTCTGCGTGGCCGGCGTGGAGACACTTGTGGACATCTATGGGTAAGAGCCTTCTTCTGGATTCAGGGTGGCCTTGGTCCAGCTGGACTTCTAGACCCCAGCAAGTAGACTTTGGGAATGGGGAGGCTTCAGGACAGAAGGGCCTACGGTGCCTGGTACTAGGCCATGGAGAGGAGGACAGCCTTCTCCATGCCTGGGGCACAGAAGAACACAAAAAGGGGTTTACGCAGCCTTGGTTCAAGACCCACAACAGAGTGTCAACCCTTTTATGAAAAGTCAGTTTTACTTATTGCAGCCCTCGGGCTGTGTCAGGCGCTGTGCTGAGTCCCTTGAACCTAGCCCAGGGAACCACTGTAGGAGCTGGGTGTCCGTCTGACAACCGCGCACTGAGAAGCCATGCCGAGAGCTAAGCTCGCCCCTGCCTGCTCGGAGTACGGGGCTGGTGACAGTGCTACCACCCCAGAAGGGGCAATTTCCTGTCTGGGTTCCATGGCCTTGCAGCATCCACACATTACTCCCCCTACATGGAGGTGGTGCCTGAAGTAAGTCCCTCCCCTACTCTTTCTCCCAGGCAGAAAAGGCAGGTTTGGGGAGGGGCTTCGGACCTAGCTTGGAAGGCGTTCTGAGAGTCTTGGGAGTTTCAGCTCCAGTGCCAGGATGGTGGGTGGTGGCGGCTGGACAGAGTGACCACTTCCACCCCTCCAGCTTTCTTCCCGCACATTCCCCTCCCGTTTTCCCCATGTTTGCCTTTTGGCTGTGGGCATCATCACGTGCGTGGCGAGGTGGTGGGTAGTGTCCCTAGGCCACCATCTCCTGGACATTGTCACGTGTGCACTGAGGAGTGGGAGGGGCAAAGTCACCTGCCCATGGAGAATGTGTCCTAGGTTAAGACGTGGAACTTGGGAATGAACTTGAGTCAAAAGCAGCAGAGAGGCTGGTCTGTGAGTATGGCACGGGAGGGGGTGAGGAGCTGGGCAAGGGAGGGAATGGGGTGTGGGGCAGACCCAACCCATGGGGTCCAGGAACTCCAGCCTGGCTGAGGGTGGGCGGGCAGAGAGGGATGGGAAGGGGCTTTAGCGGCTCCCACAGGAGGGGCCTCCACAGAGACCACACCAGGAGCGGAGATGGGAGGAGAGGTACCTTGCTGCCTGGCGCCGCCTGCTCCAGGGCTGCGTGCCATGGCATGACTCACTTGGCCCAGCTGCTTTGTGCCCGTTGGGCAGATGTGTCTCCAGTTTGACCTGCCCAGGAGGTCTGGGGCTGGCCCCGCCCCCGCACAGCTTTCTTCCTGGGCGGAGGAAGCACTGGAGAGAAGAGGTGCCAGGGCCGCTGCATCCTAGGGAGGCCTGAGCAAGAGGGACCATGTTGCAAATGAAGGTCATGTGGGGCATCTCCATGGGGTGTGGGGCAGGGGCTCTAGCATTTTCTCCCGAGGGACTCGAGGTCCAGCGGTGGTAGTGAGTCCCCAAGTCATACGTTCCTATGGGCATTGGGATTCCTTCAGGGTTTGGTGTGCACAGCAGAACAGTCTGAGGCCCACGCCTTTGGGGTGCCAGTGGGGGCGTCAGGGAGCTGCAGGAGGAGGGGCGGGAGTAGGCGAGGCCACAGCCCCTTCCGGCCTGATGAGTGCCAGTGGGAGCTAGGGCAGCAGGTGTACAAGTTCCCCCAGCCAACATGGTCTCTGTCTCTGCGGTATGGAGGCCGTGATAACTCCAGTGATGGCGCTTGGAGCCTGTGCACGGTGCTCGCTCTCCTGAGCACCCAGCGTAAATGATTGAATTCTCACAATGATACTGTGAAATGGGTACCATCATCAACCCCGTTTTATAGATGTGAAAACTAAGGTCCAGAAAGGCTAAATAAGTCACCATAGGTCACTCAGACACTAAATAGCAGAGCCGGGATGCAAGCCGACCAGGTTGTCCCTGACTTCCCAGGGCTGTCTGTGAATGACCATGTGGCCAGCACCTGCTGGGATGGGCACTCAGGATGGCGACTGTCCATTATCAACATCTTTGTCAGAAGTGTTTAATTATAAAGCAGGGGTGGGGAAGGGGATGGTCCATCTGCTGGCTCATCCTCCAAATGTCTGCAGCGGCAGGGATGGCCAGGCCGAAGCCAGGAGCCAGGAACTCCAGCTGTGTCTCCCATGTGGGTGGCAAGGACCCAGGTACTCGAGCCATCACCTGCTGCCTCCCAGTGCGTACGTTAGCAGGAAGGTAGGACTCAAACCCAGGTACTCCAATATGGAGTGCTACATGCCTGCTGCCCCCATCCTGTCATTACTGCTATACCCAAGCCCTGTGGAGAGCCTCAAGGGTTCTCAGCTCTGCCAAATATGTGATGGCTGGGATGGCCACTGAGCCAGCCCAGGAGAAAGAGAGGTGGAGAAAAGAAAAATTAGTGTGGGTGGAGCATTCAGGGTGGGCTTCCTAGAGGGGGAGCACCAAACCAGAGCCTTGAAGAACAAGCCTTGCCCAGACAGATGGCCTCGCATGGCAGAGGATCAACCCTGCCTTTATGACTACTGATGAGCTGGGGGTGGCCCAGGCTTGCTGTGGGGGCAAAGATGGGGGAAAGAAGAAGGAGGAAGAGGAGGGCATGGAGGTGCCCTGAGCCTGCACAGCATTGCGTGTCTTGTTTAGTCCTCATCTCAACTGGAAGCTTTCTTCAGTTTCTATCCAACAGATGCAAAAGGAGTTCTCAGAGGGTGGAGCCTGATAAGTCTTGTCTGTGAGACACATCTGGACTTGAACCCAACTCTTGTCTAGTTCACAGCCCAGGTTGTTCCCTGCATTCTGCATAACCCTTTCTTCTGTATTTTCTAAAGATTTGTTTTATTTATTTGAAAGGCAGAGTGACAGAGAGACAAAGATTTTTTCCATCGGTTGATTCACTCCCCGAATGGGGCTGAACTCCACCCGGTTTTCCCATGTGGATACAGGGGCTCAAGCCCTTGGGCTTCCTTTGCTGTTTTCTCAGGTGCGTTAGTAGAGAACTGGATGGGAAATGGAGCTACCAAGACTCCAGCTGATGAGCCTGTGCAGGATGCTGGCAGCTGGTCAACCTGCTGCTCTTTCTTGAACTTTGAACATTCAGCATTGAGACAAGCTTCTCAGACTTGGGCTCAGAGTTGGTCCTTGCTGTGCCCCATCAGACTGCAGGCTGTCCCCTGGCAGTGGGCCACAGTGTTGGGCATGGACACTGGCTAGAGCTACTTCAACTGGGCATGCCCATGCATCCTTGGGGCTCATGGGGCTATGACTGCTCAGGCAGCTGAGGGGCCCTCAAAGCCATTCCCTTTGTGACTTGTTGCAGACTCAGATAGCAATCCTTAGGCAGGGACAGACGGTTCAATAGAACAACCTATGGGGTCTCAGACACTAACAGTAGAGCTTGGCCACCCTGCATTTTCCGGAAGGGGACATAGGGGCGCAGACTTCCCCAGGATTGAGCTCCACGACAGGGACAGAGCAAAAGTCTTCCAGCTTGAACCAGCGACCTGTGACTATTTTTGGAAGGGAAATTTAATCACAAGGGTGTAAAGCCTCCCTTGGAAGGGGGGCTCCTGGATAGGAAGACCCCAGAAGTGCCTGCTGTGAGCTGGATGCTTTCAAAGGGGCCAGGCACACGGCAGCCCAGAGGGTCAACCTTGACTTTGGAGGTGTCCATCTCACCCATCAGAGATGGACCCCAGGGAGCAGCACCTGGAAGAGCTGGAAGGCAGGGAGGCACCCCTAAGGTGCTCTGGGCGGGTGTGAAATGGGAGCTGCTGCCACTTCCTGGCCTGGTGCTCCCTTCCTCCCTCTGTTAGCAGCTGTTGCTCACCTGGCAGGGAGCTGGCAGCCTCCTGCTTTGCTCCAGTCTTGACGGTCTCCTGCCAGGCTGCACCTCTGAATTGCCCCAGAGGACTTGGGCAACAGCCTTGGTGCCAGGGGGCTACACCTCAGAATGCTTGATTCGTGAGGAACCTCTGCAGCATGAGATTCCCAGAGACTGCCATGACGCAGCAGGGGTGGCATTGCTACCTTTGGGAGAGCCAATGGCTCCTGTCACCTCTTGCCTGGCAGAGCCTGCGCCGTGGAGCCCTGAGCTTCGATCCTGCACCAGTCACCTGCCCCTGCCTGAGCCACTTTCTGTGCCTCCTCCAGCCTCAGTTTCCCCATTTGTACCCTGAGGGGATTGGCACCTATGCCTTCCTCTCCCTGATTGGAAACTGGGTGCAGGAGCTTCTAATGCCTGTGCAGAGAGCCAGGCCTGCTGTGCCTCCCACTTTCTCTCCACGGCGTGGTCTTTCATCAGGACATCTGCACAGCTGTCACTCCCTTGGCCGGGTGAGGGCAGGCACGGCGTGGGGGCAGGACAGTGGTTTCCTGGACCTGGTTGTAGGGATGGGGACAGCAGAGGCAGGGAATCTGTGGGCCATGTGGGTGAGGCTGGGGCAGCTGGAGTGCCACTCAGAGCCTCTGAATTGGGTCTCTGCCTCCTACGATCCTCACAGGCCAGCTCACTGTGGCCCTTGTGGATCATCCTGTTTCCAGCAATTTCTCAGCTCAGGAGTCTGGTCTTGTCCTCCCAGAGGCTGAGTCCCTGAGCCTGTGATGAGCAAGGATGGGCTTAGGTTTCAGGGAGCATGGGACGGGGCTGGCTGTGAGTCCCGGATCTGTCCCCTGCCCGGAGCCTCAGTCTTAGCATCTGTAAAGTAGGAGATACAGCACAGTTGCAGCATCCCTAATCTGGCAGGCTTGGCACCAGTAGGGGTTCACATGTAAAATTGGGAGGGAGGGTATTTGCATATCCTTAATGAGATATCTTGAAGGTGCATGCCTCATAGATGCCACGTACGCATGGACTGAGGGCAATGTTATGTGGCATTCTGACTGTGACCAATCTCACAAGGTCAGCTGTGGAACCTCACACTTGTGCATCTTGTCAGCGTCAAAATGTTCAGGATTTTCAACCTGCCCACATGTCAGTCAGCTGTGGGAACCACCTGTATCTCCACTGTCCTCATTGTCACAAGAACACAGGGAGAGCAAATGGGGCTGGTGTGTGGGGTGGGAGTGTCACCCAGAGTCATCCCTAGAGCCTTGGGGACCACGGCCAGCATCACTGAACAGCAGCATGCTGGTACAAAGGCTGGGCTGCCGCCGGGTCAGGGACCCCAACCTTAGTAGAGTGGGGCTAAGGTTGCCTGCTTTCAGGTGTTCTGCCGTTCCCACTGGCCTGGGACCTTCCAGGTTGTGCATTGCAGGAACCCAGGCCCCTCTCCACTCTGAAGTTGACCTGGCCAGGGGAGCAGCAGGGCTCTCAGCTGCCTGTGGAGGGACCTGGAAGGACAGCTGGGGGAGGGGCAGCTGAGCAGCCTAACTGGCTGGGGGATAGGGTGGGGCTCAGCCATGCAGGCAGCTGGAGCAAGCACACGGTGCTGGAGAGGTTCCAGATTCTTCCTTCCCCCTCTGTGAGGTCTGGATCTTCCTGTACCTGATGCAGGCTCTCTTCCTGGCTTCTCTTCTCACCCGTTCCACCTTCCTGGGACACAGCCTCCCTGGCTGGGGAGGCTGGACTCTCACCTTCTGCTGCCTCGGTTTCCCCTACAGAGAAATGAGGCACGACTTCCCGGGTGCCTGGTGCGCACACCCACTGTTGAATACAGGCGGATGTAGACAGGCTGGGGTTGCTGAGTCAGGCCCTCGAGGCCTCACACCTACAGAGTTGGGGGGCAGGGCTGCAGGTTGGGCTCAGACTGTCTGCCCCCAGGGCCCTCAGGCGTGTCTACCTTGTTCTTGTTGTATCACATTGCTGTCCCTGATCAAGAACCATTGCTGGCTGCCCATGAACTTGAGAGGAAACAAAAATAAACTCATTACAGCCCAAGTCTGAGCTCAGTCCCCTGAGGTGACACGAGAATACCTTCCCACAATTGTGCCTCCTCCAGGAAGCCTGCCCTGGTTTCCCTGGCCCCCTCTCTTGTCCCACCTCTGTCCTCCTGTTTCTGTCACCCTAATTGACTATAATAACTGCTTCCCCATCCTGGGCCTCTCCTATCTGCCATCGCATTTGAGCCTGGTGATCACTGTGAGGTTGGCCAGGGGAGTATCATTAGCCCATTTCATAGATGGGATGACTGGGCCCGACAAGGCTGAGTGAGTTAGTCAAGATCAACCAGCAGACACATGAGCCAGCCTGGTCTGGAACCTGACTCCACAAGCCCTGGGCTTCCATGGCCTCTGCTGTAGCTTGTTTACCTGACTCTGTAGCCTCGCTTGGCACCGGCCCGGGGTGAGGAGGGTGTGGGTCCATCCGCATCAGGGAGCCTGGCATGGGCTGGACACCCCCAAACCCAGAGAGGGTCTGGGTGGTGTGTGAGTGTGGCTGCAGGAGCCAGAGGTCCTGGATTGGCTCCTGACCTTGCTGCTTGCAAGCTTTACCACCTTGGAGGTTACTTAACCTCAGTTTCCCCATGTGTGAAATGGGTGACAATGCCAGTGCCTTTCTCTGATGCTTACCGAGGGCATTGCATGCTACACTTTATGTCAAGGGACTGAAACAAGGCTGGGCCATGGCAAGAACCACCCCCCCCCCCCGCAATGTTGGCTTCTGTAATGCCCCAGGGCAGGGGGAGCAGCTTCTTCCAGGAAGACTTCTGGGCTGCTTCCCACCTGGGAATCCACCAACCTGAGGCCAACGCCCAGAACCTGGCAAGTGGCACTAGTCAGTGTCAAGTTCCCTGTGGAAGTGAAGAGTCCTGGACAGGGGCAGTGGGAGGTGCACCTGTCCCAGCCCACCGGCAGACTGGGACTCCCAGGCAGGAACGGGTACGGCAGGGCCAGGCCCCAGTGATGTCATGAATCTGGCCACATTCCCCTGGCGATGGAGCAGGCATCAGGAAGACCTGAGTAAGCCTGGCTCTGTAGCTGGAAGCTGTGTGGCTTGACACTTGTGGCTACACCTCTCTGAGCCTTAGCGCCTCAGCTGCCACACAGGGACGATGGGCTTGGCTCCTGGACTTGCTGGAGGAGCAGGTGCATGCAAAGTGCTTGGTGCACAGCAGGTGCTACACAGGTGCAACAATGTCTTCCTCAGGGGAGACCCCAGCCTGTCTTCTCTCCTGCTGTGGAGGTTTGTGAGGGGGACCGAGAGGGCTCCAGGAGACCCTCAGCTGGGTCCTGGCTACCTGGGGAGTTGCAGCAGCACATGCAGAGTCCATGTGAGAGGGTGTGGAGCCCAGGATTGTAAACATGCAGAAACGTTTGTCCAAGAATGTACTGTGAGACTCTAAGGGGCGAGGGTGGTCAAGGAAGGCTTCCTGGAGGAGGGAGCAGGGCTTGAGCAAAGGCTCGGACACCTGAACAGGAGCTGCCTCACCACGTGCTGCTCTTCCCAGGTCGGTTCCTGAGGGCACTGAGCTGTTCGAGGTCTATGGGACCCCAGGTGTGGATATCTACATTGCCCCCAGCATGGAGAGGAGCCGGGAGCGAGCTGACACCCGGCGGTGGCACTTCGACGAGGGGCTGGACATCATTGTGGTCATGAACTCGCCCAGCAATGACATCAATGACAGTCACGTGAGTGGTCCCCGAGCTTGGGGTGTGGTGAGGCCATGACCCAGCTTCCCCAGAGCCCAGAGTCCCCTCTGTCTCCAGAGTTTGGGTGGCACAGTGAGCCAGCTCTTGGGCCTAGAGCTGACAGCTGGAGTCTGAGTTGCAGCTCTGCAGCCTGTGCATGCGCACTGCGTCCCCAGTGCCTCCTACGGGCTCACAGAGCCTCTGCTTGCCCATCTATGAAGTGGGGATACTCAACACACCTCCCTCTGTGCTGGCGTGGAGTGGTTCCTTCACTCTGCTCCACTCCTGCTCCTTCTCTTGTGTCCCAGGTGGGCTGTGCTGGCCTCGGCATCCCTGTCTGCAGGTGGAAGGCTGACCGGGGACTTGCTACTTAGAAAAAGGAGAGAAAGAGGGGCTGGGGGAGAAGCCCCTTCCCAGGCCATGTCTCCCGATGGTGCTCACTCCCCACTCACCCACCTCTTCCATAGTCTATAGATTTAAACCATAGGAGCACGGGAGACATAGGTTTAAACCATAGGAGCACGGGCCGGCCTTTGAGCTTGGCACAGGGATGAAGGGAGGAGGGCTCCCGGTGTGTCTTCCTCCATGTCAGCTGCCACGTTTTTGCAAGGGGCCAGGTGCTGGGTGGCCATTGCTCCTTCGGCCTCACTATAGTCCTCAGAGTGCGGGGAACTGATCCCCATTCTCCAGGAGAAACCAGGGATCAGGACCCTAAGCCAAGGATGGGAGAGTCGGACACCTGCTGGTACCCACCGACACCTGCTTGACACCTCTATGACGCCCGCCCAACACCCACCTGACACCTGCCTGATACTCACCTGACACCCGCCTGACACCGCGACACCTGCACCTTTGACACCCTGGCCGAGACATGCCTGACACCTCCTGACACCACTGCTGCACCTGCCTGCCACCTGCCCCACCGGATACCCTCCTGACACCCACCTGACACCTTCCTGCCACCCACCTGCCTGACACTCACCTGACACTCACCTGTCTGACCCCAGCCTGATACCTACCTGACACCCACCCACCTGACACCCACCTGCCTGACACCCACCTGCCACCTGCCTGACACCCATCGGACACCCAGTAGACACCCACCTGACACCCACCTGCCACCCACCTGCCACCCACCTGCCTGATACCCACCTGCCACCCGCCTGACACCTGCTTGACACCGGCCCGACACCCACCTGACACCCACCTGCCTGACACCTGCCTGACACCCACCTGCCACCTTCCTGACACCCATCGGACACCCAGCAGACACCTGCCTGACACCTACCTGACACCCACCTGCCTGACACCTGCTTGACACCCACCTGCCACCTGCCACCTGCCTGACACCCATCGGACACCCAGCAGACACCCGCCTGACACCCACCTGACACCCACCTGCCTGACACTCACCTGACACCCGCCTGACACCTGCTTGACACCCGCCCGACACCCACCTGACACTCACCTGACACCCACCTGCCTGACACCGGCCCGACACCCACCTGACACTCACCTGACACCCATCGGACACCCAGCAGACACCCGCCTGACACCCACTTGCCACCCACCTGCCTGACACTCACCTGACACTCACCTGCCTGACACCAGCCTGATACCCCACCTGATACACACCTGACACCCACCTGATACCTGCGCCTGACACCGAGGCCTGAAAACAGAAGTGGCCCAGGGAAGGCTAAAGGAAGAGTGTGTTGATACAGAGAAGTTCTTGAGACCGCCCACCCTCGCCTCAGCCCTGGCCCCGGGGGCTCTCGGCTCCTCCAGGCCTGCTGACCTGTCTCTCCACAGGTACAGATTTCCTATCACTCCAGTCACGAGCCTCTGCCCCTGGCCTGCACGGTGCTCTACCTCACCTGTGTGGGTACGTCAGGGGCCTTGCCGTGGACGGGGAGGGGTGGGGGTATCTGGGAGTGACACCGAACAGGGGCTCTTTACTAAAATCCATCGAATGGCAAGTCAATCTTTATTCTCCAACCTGAGTCTTCCAGTTCCCCAATGCCCACATCCTCCTGGTGCTGAGCTGGGCTTGTACACACACAGAGACCCGTGTGTCCTCTTGCTTTGCCTGCACCTGGCTGCAACTGCACTTGCTTTCCCAGCTAACTCTCTGCAAACTGACTGTGAACTCCCTGCAAGATGATTTCAATGCTGGAACACTCAGGGAATAGGAAATGAGCATGAGTGCTATGCTGAAGGCTCCAGTACGGAAAGTGTCACTACGCACGAACAGACAGGGAGTTTAAGCAGAGGAAGGAAAACTGCAAGGGGCAATGGAGACGCTTAGAAGTAAAAAGCCTAGTAACCAAGACAGAAAATACTGCTGAGCTCAGCAGTAGGCTGAACACACTGAAGAAGGAACAGGGAAAATGAATGAGAAGTTGATAGATGCTACCCAGCCCGAGGGTGCATTTGCTGCACTTGTCACAGCGGTTAAGGTACCACTCGCACCTGGCCCCGTCCTGCCTCTGCTGCTGACTCAAGCCTCCTGCACCCCGAGACAGTGGGTTAGGACCCAGTAGTTGGGTTCCCTGCTGCCTGCTTGGGAGACACACAGCATTTAGGAAGTGAGCCAGTGAATGCTAGATCTCTCTGGGCCTGTGTCTATCTCTATCTTTGCTTTTCAAATTAAAAAAAAAAAAATTGTTTCCTGACTGAAACACAAAAAGTAAACAGATCAGAGTATCAGTCAAAACTCACTAAAATCCCCATCGCAAGCATAATGTGATTTTTGTGTTACTGCCCGAGAGAGAGCGAGAGGGAGCACTCCCACCCTCTGGTCACTCCCCACCTGACCACAGTGGCCGGAGGGTCAAAGCCAAGAACCAGGCCTTCAAGACAGGCGTCCGTGTGAGCGGCAGGGACCCGGCACTTGGGCCATCTCTGCCACCTTCCAGAGTCTGCATTAGCAAGAAGCTGGGATGAGGAGCAGAGCTTGGACTCGAACCCAGAAAAGGAAGTGGGCATCCTAACCGACAACCAGAAGGACGGATGCCTAGCCCCTGCACAGGGTTTTATCTTTTAATTTTATTTTTAAAGGATTTATATTTATTTATTTGCAAAAGTGACAGAGAGAGAGAGAGCCGGGGAGAGAGTTCTTACATCCATGGGTTCACTCCTCAGATGGCTACGACAGTCAGGGCTGGGCCAGACTGAAGCCAGGAACCAGGAACTTGTTCCCAACCTCCCACGTGGGTGTAGTGGCCCAACCCCTTGGGCCATCCTCTGCTGCTTTCCCAGGCATGTTAGCAGGGAGCTGGATCTAAAATAGAGCAGAATGCTGGTGTTGCCAGCGGCAGCTTAACTCACTATGCCGCGCACTGATTCTCATCAGGTGCATTTTCTTTTTTAAAAGATAAATAAATCTTTCAGAGATGTATTCTTCATTTCTAAGTTTTAATTGGAAAGGATAAATCTTTCAGAGATTTATTCCTTTTCTCTATCTTTTTATTGGAAAGGCAGATCAGATTTATGGAGAGAAGGAGAGACAGAGAGAAAGATCTTCTATCTGCTGGTTCACTCTCCGAGTGGCTGTAACGGCCAGAGCTAAGCCAATCCAAAGCCAAGAGCCAGGAGCCTCTTCCGGGTCTCCCATGCAAGTGCAGGGTCCCAAGGCTTTGGGCCATCCTCCATTGCTTTCCCAGACCATAACCTGGAAGCTGGATGGAAAGTCCTCGCACTATCTGGGACCTATCATGTACATTTTACATGAGTTTTTGAAGACCCCTCATGAAGAGGAGACACCCTGATACAACAAAGGATGAGCAAAAAGTCAGACTATGACCTGGGAGTGGACATTGTTCTGCACATGGCTGGCCTGGGGTGTGTTGAATAGGGAGAAGGAAAAAGACCCAAACGTGGAAATTGTCAAAATTTTAAATAACATATAGAAGAGAAAGCCCTTGAGAATGAAAGATGCTGGATGGGGTGAGACCAGGACCCTGGAGCCGGAAGCCCCTGCCCTGGAGGGCAGGGTTCCAGCACATGGAGAACCATTGGCATGAAGTTGGATGCTTGAAGGCTCCGCTTGTAAATGTCTCCCCAACTTCTAAGGAGGAGTGGAGGGTGGGACTCAGCGGGTGTGAGATTCAAGTTGGGATTCAGAGAAGCACCATAGCCAGGCAGTGTGGCAGAGCCCCAATTCACACCCGTGTCCTCGATACTATGCCATCCTCCAGAGGAGAGTGTCACACCCCCCGGAATGTCTCATAGTCCTGGTCTCCAAGTAAGATCCCACAGACAGTGAGGGCTGTCAGTGGCACACAAAAGAGAGAGGCCTCCAGGAAGGCTTCCTGGAGGATGCAGCACTGGGCGTGGGCCTCTTCTCTGATCTTCCTTCCTCCCCGAAGGCCTCTTCCCCATCCTGGGGAGAGGGGCCACAGACACCCCAGCCGCTCCCCCCGCCCCAGGCTGTGTCTCCTGGCGACGCCTTGTCTGGCCAGGCCCTGACAGGTCCTGAAACAGGACAAAGCAGCTGGAGCCTCAGCCTCTCTCGGATAGAAGTGCCCACTGCTTCCTCCCTGCAGATATCTCACTGGATTGCGACCTGAACTGCGACGGCAGGCACGATAGGGCCCTTGTGGACAAGGTAGGTGTCCCTGCCTGGGCCCAGGAAGGGCAGTGGGGGGCCTTCCGCTACAGGCTGGGTCAGGAGGGTCAAGGATGTGACAAACAGCCCCCTGCCCCCTGACTGACGCTGAGGCCAGGAGAGCTGAACAGGAGCCTGGGGTGGCCCCAGATTGTCTTGCAGCAGGAGAAAAAAAAACTGGTGTGCAAATGAGCAGGCATAGAGGTCCACAGTCCTGGGTGATGCCCGAAGGTCAGGAGTGACCATGTGCCAATAAAACTTTATTTTCGAAAACAAGCATTGGGCCAGATTCGGCTCATAGGCCATCATGTGTAGAAACCCTAACCCAGCTGACAAAGGATATCTACCAAGTGTGAAATCTGCAGAATTTGGGGGTACATCATGGTGGCACTGATGTACTGGGAGTTCAGTGGGGGTGGCGAGAGGAGGAGGGTGGGTCCAGGAAGGCTGAGTGAGAGAGAAAGCTCTGGAAGGAAGTGTGCTTGAGCTGGACTGCAGGCATGCTGGAGGGAGGGCATTTCAGGTTAGGGATCAGCATAGGGCCATGGCGGAAGGGGAGAGGAGGAGGAAGGGGCATGAGCGGAGGCGTGGGTCTCACGTTCCAGAAGAGAAGCAGGGGAGGAACAGCCCAGACAGCCACACAGGCCACTGGACTTGATGGTGTGGGCCATAAGGAGCCATGGCGGTTCCTGAAGCGGGCCGGGAGGTATCCCTCTGTGACAGGGACACAGTCTCAGAGGGTGAGAAGGCTTAGCCGTCGGGCCGGGGGATGGGAGGGGCGCAGGTCTGGGTTGAGCCCCCATGGTCAGCTGGGCATTGCCGTCGGCAGCGGCAGTGGGTCTGGGGGCCCGAGGGCCATGGCGCCATCCTGCTGGTGAACTGTGACCGGGACGACCTGAGCTGTGATGTCCGGGACAACTCCGACCAGCACGTGTGCTGCCTGGAAGGTGAGGGGCTGAGACCGGGGGCTGCCTGGGTGTGTCCAGGGTCCCTGCTCGGGTAGCTGCCCAGGGTTTCCAACCCACAGGTGGGGCTGTGAAGGCCAAGCCGGGCTGCCACATCTCGATGTTGCTCAGAGTACATCTTAGGGTGACGACCAACCCTCCCCAATGTGACCAGAACCAGCAGTCACTCATACTGGGGCAGAAACTGGCGGCCTCACCACGCTCTTCTTCCTGGACAGTGGACAAGGCTCACACTGTCTGAGCACCTGCCGTGTGCCTTCCCTTCCCTTCTAGTATAATTTGCCAAGCTGGAGTTATCCTCACTCCATGTTAGATGGGGATGCTGCAGTTTGGAGACAACCCCTGTTCCACCTGGCCCCAAATCGCCAGGCATTTCTGGCAGGCCCCGACCTGAGCACCCTCTGGGGGTGGGAGGTGGAATAACACTTGCCCTTTGCTGGTCACCGCCCCAACCCTGGCTAGAGACCAAGACCCTCCCCATGGGACCCCCAGGCGGCCCTCGCACCTGCTACATGCCAACCTCTGGTCTGGGTCCTTGCACATCCTACATGTTGCCAGGGCAGATGAGAACATGTGGCTCACGGCAGGCCCCACAGGTGCCCCGCATGTCACGCAGGTGCGTGTGTCTGGGATTTGCTCCAGTGGAGGAATCCAGCACTTCCCGAGTAGGCTGGGAGCCCCGGGTCTCAGCTGCCCTAACCGAGGGGCAGGTGCTGGAGTCCAAGGCCACCGCCCTGAATAGTGCCTCCTGCTTGGCTCTGCAGACCTAGAAGACATGTCTGTCATGGTCCTGCGTACCCAGGGTCCCGCGGCCCTCTTTGACGACCACAAGCTTGTCCTGCACACCTCCAGCCATGATGCCGAGCGTGCCCGGGTCTTCCACATGTGTGGTGAGTCCAGGCCACCACCCACCAGGGCCATTCCACTGTGGGCAACTCTGCACGGGCTCCAGGAGAGGCCTTGGGGGTGCCCAGGAAGAATACTCTGAAATGGGGGTCCTGAGCCCCATCAGGTGGGTTCCCCAGCTCAGCTAGAAGGTGTCAGATTGGGTGAGTGAATCTTGAAAAATACAGCCAAAGCATATTTGAAATTCTTGATATTGAAAAAGTCAAGTGTGTTTAAAGAACCAGTGTCAGGAGTCCCCATTCTTCCGGCTCCGTCTTCACGTCCTTGTGTGCACGGCAGCAGTGCAAGGCCGGTTCCACATGCGTGGGCTTCTGCCCTGTGAACTTCAAGGGGGTGTCTCCTGAAAATGCAACTGACATGCGTTGTGCTGGGCCAGCGCTGAATCAGAAATACAAATGAGACACCCGTGCACAATTGTCCATGCGTGTAGGGCTTTTCTCCCAAAGATTAATTGATTAAGAGGCAAAATTACAGAGAGAGAGAGAGAATCCTTCCATCTGCCAGTACGCACCTCAGATGGTCGCAATGGCCAGGGCCAGGCCAGGCCAAGGTCAGGATCCTGGAGCTTCATCCCGTAACCCTAATGGATGCAGGGTCCCAAGGCTTTGGGTCATCCTCTACTGCTTTCCCGGACCATGAGCAGGGAGCTGGATGGGAAGTGAGCAGCCAGGACTCGAACCAGTGCCCATATTGGATGCTGGCATTATAGGCAACAGCCTTACCTGCAACACCACCACACTGGCCTCAACTTGTACATGTAGTTTTATCAGCAGACTACCTAGAAGTGGACTTTCGGGGTAAGGGGCAAGCACTGCTTGTTTGGGTACCACTAAGCTGCCCTCCAAAAAGAGCTGAGTACCCATGTAGGAAAGGTTGACTGTGCCCACACTGGACACCCTCGCTAGCTGTGCCCATGCTGGCTGCCCTCCTAAGCCATGCCAGGTTGGACACAACACATCCCTTTGTCAAGGAGCGGGTGCAAAGAATACGTCATGAAGGCCTCACACGGCTCTCTGCACCCCCCGGCTCCCTGGGCCTGACAGGCAGTCACGGCCACCTCGGTTCCCCTTCAGGTCCCGAGGACTCGTGCGAGGCCTATAGGTGCGTACTGGGCCAGGACAAGGTGTCGTATGAGGTGCCCCGCTTCCACGGGGATGAGGAACGCTTCTTCGTGGAGGGCCTCTCCTTCCCTGACGCCGGCTTCGCAGGACTGCTCTCCTTCCACGTCACACTGCTGGACGACTCCAACGAGGTAGGGGCTGGCCAGGGCCGAGCGGGGTCGCAAGGCCTGGGGCCACATGTGGCAGGGAAGGGCGCCAGATGTGCCACCCCCGCTGGGTAATGTCCATCTTGCAGAGAAGCCAGGGACTTGCTGCCATGAGAACAGAGGACTCCGTGTCCAGTGCTCTCCCCCTGCCCCATCTCCCCGCAGGACTTCTCCGAGACGCCCATCTTCACCGACACAGTGGTGTTCCGGGTGGCACCGTGGATCATGACACCTAGCACCCTGCCACCCCTGGAGGTGTATGTGTGCCGGTGAGTCCAGGGGATGAGGGGGCATCCGTCCCGGGGAGAGGAGGCCGGCTCTGACCCTGACGCTGTCCCTGGGCTCACCCGCAGCGTGAGGAACAACACGTGTTTTGTGGAAGCGGTGGCTGAGTTGGCCAGGCTGGCTGGCTGCAAGCTGACCATTTGCCCCCAGGCTGAGAACCGCAATGACCGCTGGATCCAGGTACCTACGGCCTCCGGACAGGCCCAGCCTGGACGGGAGGGACTCTGGAATGAGGCGGGCTGGGTTTGGGTCCTGGGCTGTGCAGCCAGTTGGCTCTATGTCCTCAGACTTGTCTGCTCCTTGCTGTTACCTTCTGTCACCTGGGTGTGAAGAGCTCCTCTGCATGGGCTGGTCACCGAAGCTGGTCGCCTCCTAACCCAGATAGCTCAGCACTGCCCTGCCCCGACCCCTCACGACCACAGGGGGAAGGCAGAGGTCCTGGCTGGTTCCCAGCAGCTTCTTTATCTCACTGAGACCACCCAAGGTCCTCTCGTATCTACCCTGTCCCAGCCCAGCCAGGGGATAGCCCCAAGGTCATGTCCATTTTCTCCCTTACTCTCGGCTTTGTGACCCTAGGCAAGTGCATGCTCTCTATGAGCCTGCAGCCCCTCCCCTCATCAGTTGGCATCAGCCCCCTGTCCTTCCCTCTCCCGCCCCCCACCAGGCAGCTCCTGTGCACAGCACGAGGGGGAAGCTGTGACCACCCATGCCCCACCTTCCTTCGCAGGATGAGATGGAGCTCGGGTACGTGGAGGCGCCACATAAGACCTTCCCTGTGGTCTTTGACTCGCCCAGAAACGGCGAACTGCAGGACTTCCCTTACAAACGGATCCTGGTGAGGACCCTGTCCTGGGGGCCAAACAGGGCATGAGGGCACAGGGAGGGGTTGTGCTGGGAACCCGGCTCCCTGGGGGTGAGGGAACAGTCGCCAGCATGTGCACAGGAGAGATGTAATTACATTAGCCTCTCGCGTTCTGCTGAGTCTGTTGGCCTGGAATGCAGGTGCAGCCAGGCAGCCTGGAGCCTTGCTCACTAAATCCCTGGACGGCAGAGGCAGGGTGGTATGACTGGAAGGAACCCAGGCCTTGTTGCTTGCCCACAGGCTGGGTGACACTGCCTGAGTTGCTTTCCCTCCTGGAGCCTCTTGGGGGAACATGTGGGTCACCCCGGGCTCATGGTGTTTTTGCAGCCACTCTTGCCGTGACAGGAGCTGCAGGGAGAGAGTGGGTCTTGTTGCCCATCTAAAGGCTGCTAACCTGGATCCCTGGCAACTGCTAACCCTGGAGTGGATGGAAGGACCCTCCAGCTGTACCTGGTCATTGGGGGAACCCCATTCCTTCTGGGGAGGACACTCCTTTCCTGAAACCCAAAGACTGGGGCTCAGGGAGCGTCTGCAGTCTCAGGGTCCCAGCCTCAAGACTGGCTGACGTCAGGCTGGGTGTGGCTAAGGGCGTGGCCATGGTCTCAAACTCCATGTCTGATGGGGGGCTGCAGGGAATCCCCCATGTCAAACCCTGCACCCTGACGAGCACCACCACCTTGGAAATCAGCAGGGCCAAGAGCCCAAGTGCATCCTGCCCATGGCCTCTGTGCTGGGGTGGTGGCCTATCGAACAGGCCAGGTGTCTGCCGGCCTCCATCTGCCCCTCCTGGATGCAGCCACTCCTCGCGTGGGATGAGGGAGCTCGGAGCCCAGCAGTGGGCTTCGGGGTCTCCTGTGACCCCCTCCACCACCTGACTTAGTTGCCTCCTCGTCCCTCACCAGGGTCCAGATTTTGGCTACGTGACTCGGGAGCCACGGGACAGGTCTGTGAGTGGCCTGGACTCCTTCGGGAACCTGGAGGTCAGCCCCCCCGTGGTGGCCAACGGGCGAGAGTACCCCCTGGGGAGGATCCTCATTGGGGGCAACCTACCGGGGTGAGAGAAGGGCAACGGGAGGGAGGAGTGCCCAGGGTGCGGGTGTTTAGGGGGGTGAGGGACCCCTGCACCCCTCCAAGGGAATCGAAGTGATGGATGAAGCGGTAGCCCTGGGGCGTCCCCCCTCCCAGCACTCCCCTGGGAGTGTCCAAGGACCTATGAGGCTCTTAAGCTCTGTCCTTCCATCTCTCCCAGAGAGGGTGAGCGAGTTTATGACTTGGCTTGGCTCTGCTGATTCTAAGTAGATGGTGCTGATCTTAGTATCTGTGGGTTCGTGGTAATAAGAGAAGCTTCCATTCCCAACAGTCCTGGGAGAAATGCCAGTGACTCAAGGCTCATTCATATTACCGTGTGAATGACTGAGATCAGATCTTTTCCAGAACGCAGGAGAAGGGGAGGTAGGAGATCAGAGAAATGTGACGCAGTTACCCAGAACAGTGGATTCTGCGCCGTTCATCACAGTGCACAGTGGAGTGGCCCGAGACATTGAGACCCAAGGCAGCCTTAGACTCAGGCGAGAGGTGGCCCAGGGTGAAGCCTTGGAGGGGACTGGGAATCTGAAACATGATGCTTCAGAGAGGACAAGTGTGGGCCCTGCCATGAGACATTGGCAGAAGCCAAAGCAGAGCAGAGGGGCTTAAATACGCATGCATACAGTGCTGGTGCTGGGGGACCCTGCCCACAGGACAACCCAAGGAGTAGAGAGACAGGGCAGAAACTCAAGGAAGAATTGCCTGGCTGTGGGGATGAGGCCAGGGGTGAAACCCACTGGGCTCTTGCCTGGATGTGACAGACCTATCCTGGGTTTGTCCACGTGGAACCCACCTGATGGGATCTTAAGATACTGCTGTTTGTTGTCAGTTGTTTGTTGTCTTTCCTGCTGGCAGAAGGAGTGCATAGACTGATGCGTTTTTTAAAAAAATCAGTTCTTGCAGAGCTCGGCAAAAAGTGTCTGCCAGCTGTTTTCAGTCTGATGCCTCTTTTTTTTTAACCCCGGTGATTCCTAGGTCAAATGGCCGCAGGGTCACACAGGTGGTGCGGGACTTCCTCCACGCCCAGAAGGTGCAGCCGCCCGTGGAGCTCTTTGTGGACTGGCTGGCTGTGGGCCACGTGGATGAGTTTCTGAGCTTTGTGCCTGCTCCCGATGGGAAGGTGAGGATGTGGGGTTGCATCAGCGACAGCAGCTGAGCCACCCCTTCCTCCCTCCTCGACAATGCCCTCCTAGGGACCATGCTGTGGCCAAGAGCTCAGCCCATATCTTCTCCCCACACAGGGCTTCCGGATGCTGCTGGCCAGCCCTGGTGCCTGCTTCAAGCTCTTCCAGGAGAAGCGCAAGTGGGGCCACGGCAGGGCCCTCCTGTTTCAGGGCGTTGTGGGTAGGTCCCTTGTCACTGCTTCCTTGCCACTCACCTAAGACTTACTGTGGTTTGAAAGAGGGAAGGATTTTTTTTTTTTTTTTGAGAGTAGACACAGAGAAAAGAGCAAGAAGTGTCAGCATCCCCAGTTTACCCTCAAGTGCCCTCAGTGCCTGGGGCTGGGCTAGGCCAAAGTTGGGAACCAGGAAAGCAGCCCAGCTTCTCCCATGTGAGGGCAGGAGCCCAGCCACTGGAGCCATCACCACAGGGTCTGCAGCAGCAGGAACTTGCAGTCAGATATCACAGCTGGGTATGAAACCCAGGTGTACTGACATTACCAGCAGGCGCCATAACCCTGGTTTAAACACCAGCTCCAGCATGGCCAATATATTTTTAAAGATTTATTTATTTTTATTGCAAAGTCAGATATGCAGAGAGTAAGCGAGACAAAGAGAAAGATCTTCAATCTGTTGATTCACTCCCCAAATGGCTACAATGGCTGGAGCTGAGCCAATCCAAAGCCAGGAACTAGGAGCCTCTTCCTCTGGGTCTCCCACATGGCAGGAACCAAAGGCTTTGGGCCATCCTTGACTACTTTCCCAGGCCGCAAGCAGGGAGCTGGATGGGAAGCGGGGCTGCTGGGATTAGAACCGGCATCCATATGGGATCCCGGCACATTCAAGTCAAAGACTTTTAGCTACTAGGCTACCGTGCTGGGCCCCAGCATGGCCAATTTTAAGCAAGGCTGTCCCCCAAATTAGATGCCCACCAAGACTCCTGCCCCTGCTCAGTGGGCTTTGCCAGCCACCATTCCATGGGAAAGAGCCAACACAAAGCAAGAAGCAGGTGGTGGGTGACAGACACAAGGTAGACATGGACAGAATGGAGACATGGCTGGCTCCCTGAGTGTGGCACCAAGGCAATGTACCACATCCCCTGCTCAGAAGGACCCAAAGCTTAGGGCTTCATGTCCTGTGATCCAGGTCCCCAAATCCTAATAGTAAGTGAGCAGTGCCTGCTGGGGGCTTGGCGCCTCGGTCTCCCCCGACTCCCAGTGGGAGCCTAGGCACAAGGACAGTCAGGCTTGGGCCCTGCTGCTCCAGCCTCACTGGGCCTTGTGGGTCAGTGCCCTGTTATGCCTGAGAATGAGATGCTTAGGGGCCAGTGCATGCAGCTGAGACTGGCCCATCTGTCTGCGTCCACCTGGGCAGCTGCACATGTGTGCACAGCCTAGGGAGTCCTTCTTTGCCCAGCTAAGGCCTCAGGGTGGCTGTGAGCACCCTATTCCATGTCCCAGCCTCATGACTTAGGGCAAATCAGCTGACCTCTGACTGGTGAGATCCAGTGAGCCCCTGGGCATGGGCAGCAGCTCGGGGCCTTCTTGTAGGAAGAGCCTCATCCTCTTTCCCACCCCCACTCTTGCACGCTGGCCCAGCAGAGCCCTGACAGGTGATGCCCAAAACCTCTCATCCCCCGCATCAAGGTGCAAAAAGATGAGAGGCTGTGACCTTGGCCTCACTTCTCAGGCTGCCCTCTAAAGTCCCCCCACCCCCAGCTCCGTGTACCTCTCTCTTTCGCAGGTGACAGGAGGGCCAAGACTATCTCAATAGACCAGGTCCTGTCCAATAACAACCTCATCAGCTTTAACAAGTTTGTACAGGTACAGGGGCGAAGGGCTGGGGCAGGCATAGAAGCCTGAAGCTTGGAGCCTAGGCAATCTCAGGTTGAGCCAGGCCCAGATAAAGAGGTTCATGCCTCCTCTCTGGGCCTTGGAGAAGTGAAAGCATGAACCCCACCTGGGTGTGGAAAACAGGTGGCCAAGAGCAACTGGTGCAGGGCTGAGCCCAGGTCCCTCGGCCAGTCACAGTCCTGGAGCTGGGAAACTACAAGGAGGCCATGTGACAGGTCAGGAGGCCGCTGACATCAAGCAGCCTGGAAGGGTGGCCTCTGCCCCAGGAGGAGGCCGAGGAGGGGGTGAGGGAGGAGCAGGCTGAGAGTGGGTTTTCAAGGTGGTGCTCACAGGAGGCTTGGCTGTGGCGTGAGCAAAAAGTCAGGGAGCCAGGCGGCAAGGCTTGGGGCCCTACCTGCTGGGCTGACAGTGGTTTCATTGAGGAACCACAAGGGAAGCAGCCAAGCTGGGGGCGCGATGGGGAGCAAAGAGCTGCTGGGTGACAACTGTGCTCAGTGACATCCCAGCAAAGCTACCGAACAGGCTGTGGATTGTGCAGGCTTAGGAGCCTGAGGTCAAGGAGGACACTGGCCTTTATAAAGAGGCTGGGGGAGAAAGAAAAGGTGGAAATGGAGGGGGGAGAGAGAGATGGAGGAAGAAAAAGAAAGGAGGGAGGAAGACAGAGAGAGAGGAGAGAGAGGAGGAAGATGGCGGGAGAGAGAGAGGAGGAGAGAGAGATGAGAAAGACGAGGGAGAGAGAGAGTAAAGAAGACAAAGAGGGAGAGACAGAGAGATAGAAGGAGAGACTTGGGGTCATCAGCACGTTGATGAGGCTTTCAGCCCCTAGACTAGGTGAGGTCCCCAAGGAGCAAGGGCTCTGGGGGGTCCAGGCTGGAGCATCCTGTGTGGCCCTGGCGGTGGCCTGGTGGGCAGCATAGAGGACCCAGGGTAGTGTGGTAGGGATGGCTGCTCCACAGGCCCTCAGCCATCACCCCTCTCCTCAGCTGCACGTGCCCCTTGGGGACCCCCAGCACTTGCTGGTGGGCCCTCCTCAGCTGTGCCCCCACCCCTTCCCTTCTACCCCCAGAGCTGCATCGACTGGAACCGCGAGGTACTGAAGCGGGAGCTGGGCCTGACTGACCGTGACATCATTGATATCCCCCAGCTCTTCAAGAGCGAGCGCAGAAAGGCCGTGGCCTTCTTCCCCGACCTGGTGAGGATGCACCCAGCGCTGGGGCCCTTCAGCCAGAGCTCCCAGCCCCAGTCCCCAGCGGGAGCAAGCTGTTGGGATTGCACTGGCTTGGGGGCAGTGAGGGGAGACAGGGATGGAGAGAATCAGGGTGTGTGAGGTGCCCAGCAGAGGGGCCACTCATTGGTTGAGCGCCATGGCTGAGCCTGGTCCTGCTCACAAAAAGCTCCCAGGCTAACCCACCAAGGGGCTAGCTTCTGAGCCTCTTTGAGGCAGAGTCTCAGCCATCTCTCTTGTAAGATAAAGTGGGCTGTGGTTTGGGGGTGCCTCTGTCCTAAAGACAAGATTGGGGTGTCCAGGAAGGCTTCTCGAAAGAAGTGGCCTTAGACAACATCTTGAGGATTTGGCTGGGGGCTCTCAACCTTGTGCACACCTGGGGCCATGCACCTGGGGTCCTGATGGCGCCGGTCTGAGGATCCGCTGCACCTCAGGGGGCTGCCTGGTTCTACTCCCAGAAGGACTCAGCTCATGTTCACTCAGAGCCTAGAGGCAGGACGGGGTTAGGGGGAGGCCATCAGCCTGCCCTTGCTTCAGCTAACCCTCTATCCTTCCTTCCCCTTTCTGGCTAACTTGGCCCTCTTCTTCCTCCCCGCTCGCTGGAGTTGCTGTGTAATTAGGTGCGCCCCACCCCCACTCCCCGGCCTTGCAAGAGCTTGTGCAATGGTTCAGGCTTTGGTGTTGGCAAGAGACAGAAGCCACCCACAAGGTGGGGGAACGGGAGAGCTTAGTAAGACCCCAGGAGGCCAGAATCGCCTGTCAGCTCTGTGTTTGCATCACTCCCTCCTCCCTCCCTCCCCCTACCCTGCCCTAGTTGACCTTTCTCTGCTGCTCCATCCCTGGGGACACACAGGACCATAACCACACCTTGCCGGTCCTGCACAAGCAGTAGCTGATGAGAATCGCCAGGTCCCCAGAGCCAGAATCTGATTGGCCAGTTTTGAATCCGCTGTCCAGCACTGTCCAATCAGCTGTGGCCTAGAAGTTTGGGCTACCTGGCACAGAGCTGAGAAAGTCCTTGGGAGCGCTGCAGGTGTTCTCAGAGGTGTTTGGCTCCAGAGACCCTTCCCGGGTAGGACAGGGCAAGGCAGGGTAGCGCAGCGCTGTCTGAAGGACGAACTAGTGCAGCTTCTGCCCTGAGGCAGGTGCTGGAGGTGGGAACTGATGGGTAAAGTCTCTCCTGCTTCAGGTGAACATGCTGGTGCTGGGCAAGTACCTGGGCATCCCCAAACCCTTCGGGCCCATCATCAACGGCCGCTGCTGCCTGGAGGAGAAAGTGAGGGCGCTGCTGGAGCCGCTGGGCCTGCACTGTGTCTTCATCGACGACTTCACCCCCTACCACATGCTCCATGGGGAGGTGCACTGTGGCACCAACGTGCGCCGGCAGCCCTTTGCCTTCAAGTGGTGGCACATGGAGCCCTGAGCACCTTGGCTTGGCGCCCCCCCCACCTGGGGCAGTGGACCTCCAGCGACCCCAGAGTTACAGATGGCTGGTCCTGCCCGGAAACCTCTTCCCTGAATGCATCCGCACCTGCTGCCCGTTTGATTCTCCGACTCTAAACCTCTCAGGCTTTCTCGAAAGAGGGACCTTATTTCCTGTGGATCCTTGGGACCCTTGCATGGGGAACCCTGCCACCTCAGGCACCCCAACCCACTGGCAAGTCCTCTATTTGGGAACAAATTCATTTTGGGGTCTTGAGTCTGCTTTGGTTTGATTGCTTCCTGCTTTGCAGGTAAATGAGCCCAAAGTGAGACCCTTCTACCCTATTCAGGAGGACGTCTGCTTAACACTGCCCCTTAGAGAAGGAGCTGGGGGTCCCTTTGGGTCCCCATGTAGTCCTGGTTTCCAGGCCAAGCTCCTGACTAATGCTTCTGCCCAGCACAGAATGACAGTAACCCCCTCTCAGCCTGACAGAGTCCCATCTCCAGTCTGTGTGGCTGAAAACCCACCTGAGGTTCCTCAGAGATGGAAGGATGCAAGGAGACGCTGGAGATGGGGAGGGCCACAGACAAGGGTGCAAAGCATCTTCCATAAGCCACAGGGTGGGCCCCAAGAGCCGGCTCATGGAGACTAGCCTAGGCTGTGGCACCTGCCCGCACAGAAGAAAAGGCCTGGTCCAATAGGATCCGAAGCCCTCTGCAGAGCTCTGCCACATCCTGCCCTTGGGAGTGGGGGGCCCATGTGATGGGAGGGGTCTGGGAAGAGTCACTCGGGGTGTGTGGCCTAGGGACCAGGGAGGGGCTTGAATGTCCACCCCTGTGTGTTCTGTGAGAGACCAGGCCGGCCGCACTTCCATCCTTGGCAAATAAACATAGCACCAGATCTGGGGTCTGGGTCCGCTCTCTGGGGGTCTAGGGCAGGTAGTCAGGATTGAGGCGTTTCTTGCAAGGATGTGGGGCTCACATCTAGCAACACTATGGGCTTGCCTCGTCTCCATCACGGGATGGGCCAGGACTAGCCCAGACCGCATGAGCAAGCCTGGGGACAGGGTGCTGGTTGCCATGCAGGACCCAAGCCTGGGTTGTAGCTGGGGGTGCTCTGCAGGCAGTGGGGAGCCCATGCATGTGAACCTTGCAGGATGCCCTTAGCTGTACTCCTTCCTGCCCCCAGGGACCACCTCCAGGAGCCCTGCTTGCTAACTCCTCGGCCCACCATCCCACAACCCCCTGGTCTCCTGAGGTTCCCTAAAACAGGAACATTTCAGGTGTCCAGGGAGGAGGTCCAAGGAGGTACTCCCTGCCCTACCCCAACCCCAGGGCTGCCTGCTCACCTCCATGGATTACAGGGAGTCTTCAGAACAGATGCCAGTGCCAGACTTTGTCAAAAGACCCCTTCCACCACCACAGGAGGTGGGGACAAATGAGGGAGCAGGCAAAGTCTGGCTTGGGGAGAAGGTTGAGGGTGGGGTGGGGGTGCAACTCTCTGAACGGCTGGGATAGGGAGTGGGAAGTTTTCAAGTGGACTTTCTCAGCCACAGTGGCCCTGGCACAAAGCTCTGGCCACGTCTTACCTCTCAGCCAGGGTGGCTGTGGGGAGACACCCTTGAGGGCAGGGTCTGGCATGGATCCCCATGGGTGAGGCCAGGAATGTGCAGGGACGGTTGGCCTCTTGTCTTTTGCCTTGACAGCTCTGCACCCTGGGCAGGTGGCCCCATCCTCTGAGCTGGTAGCCTTGCCCCTTCTGCCCTCCTCACTTCTGGTCTTCCTCCTCCACTGCCCCCCTTCATGAAGAGGAATGCACATAGGGACCCCAGTCAGTAGAAAAAGGACCCTCCCTCCATCTTGTATGTTTAGGGGTGCTCGGCTGAGGCCTGGAACACCAGAGTGCAGCCTAGATGGTTCTGGAAAGCACCAGGAGCTTCTCGAGCAAACCTGGGAATAAGGGTCCTTCTTGGATGGGGTCGGGTTCCCAGGCCCAGGACCCCAGGAAGGTAGCTTGGGACCAGCTTCTTGGGGGCCTCTTATGGGCACCCTCCCATCCCTCAGACTCCTACAACACAGATGAACCTTGGTCAGGCCTGGAGGCTGGAAGATGCCTCGCTAACCACCCTCCCCTCACTGGCTGCCTGGAGCCCTTTGGAAATGAGCCCCTGGATACTTGCCCAGCTAAGCCAGGCTCTGATCCCTGTGGGTTTCAGTTTTCTTTTCTGTAAAATGGGCATCGTATCTGCCTGCCCCCATGGGGCTGGCTAACTGGGAATGAAGGAAGACAGTGCATGGTACAGAATAAGTGCCCAATAAAGGATAATCATGCAATAAAGGACCCCTCCCCAGGCCCTTGCCCAACAATCACCACTTAAACACCCACAGTGGTCCTGTGTCCTAAGAGGCAACAGACTGCAACAGCCAGAGATCACAGGGGTGGGGTGGGTGGGGGAGAGTTGCCTTGGCACCTGGGCCACATCCTGCCACCTGGGACTGACCGAGGGGTAGTTCCCATCCAGACAGGAAGCAAGGCCCCACGGCCCTCGTGCGGATCCACAGCTCGGAGTCCTGACTCATGCTTTCTTCACACCCAGGAATAAAGTAACTCCGGGGCTTAGGCAGGAGGTTGCCCAACCTGTGCCTTCCGCAGTCCCAGATGGAAGAAGCTAGGGTGAGGCTGGCCACAAAGGGGTTTCGGGTGACAGGACAGAGTCTGAGGGGACCCTTCTCCCTCCAAACCAAAGTCGGCCCGGGCCCCATCTGCACAATGGTGGTACCACCCTTCCTTTATAGACAGGAAGCTGCAGCTCAGAGGAACGGTGGGGCCTGCCCAGCTATCAGTGCGGCAGATGGGTCTGAGCATGGCCTGTGGCCTCCAGACCCTACCCTTGGTTCTCATGCCACCTTCACACCAGAATCCCCCGCAGGCTTCAAAAATCTAGCATCCTCCGAGACCCTGCCTGAACACTGGGGCACATCACAAGGCTGCCTAATAGCCCTTTAAAAAAGTGAACAAAGCCGCCACCTGCAATGCCAACATGTCCTGTGGATGCTGGCCTGTGTCCCAGCTGTTCCACATGTTCCACTTAGTTGTTTGAAAGGCAGATTTTACACAGAGAAGAGAAAGAGAAACTCTTCATCCACTAGTTCACTCCCCCAATGACCACAAAGCCAGGAGCCTAGAGCTCCATCTGGGTCCCCCATATATAGAGGTCCAATACTTGAACCATCGTTGGCTGTTTTCCCGGGGAACATTAGCTGGAAGATGTATCAGAGTGGAGCAGCTGGGACTAGAACCGGCGCTCATGCAGATGTCAGCGTCAAAGGGGGCTCTTTCCTGCTGCCTCCCGACACAGGCCCCATCTCTGACAGTACAGACATATCTCTGGGGACAGCAGCAGTCACCTCCCATTCCCCCGGAGCATCCTTGCTCCCTGCCTAGCATCTCAGCTTGTCCCAACCCCTGCCCAACTCTTGACCTGCAAGTTGCAATTCCAGTTCCAGTTGCCATGTGGGTTCCAATACTGCATGTGTGGGATTTCACCGAGCACACATGAGATTTCCCTGAAGACTGAGTTGAAGCTACAGGTTCCTGGGCGCCCTCCAGCCAGGTTTCCGGGGGCCTGATGCCTGGGCCCGGGGCTCTGTCTGCTGTAATCATCCATGCAAGCACCCTGGGAGAAGGTACATGTTTGTCACCCAGTGCGGCTCCTCCTGCCCTTGCACTCCTTGGCCACAGATGAGAAATCATCAACAGGAAATGAGGCCGCCTGACTGGGAGGGGTCTCCACCAAGGAGTGTGGTGTGAGAAAGGATATCAAGACAGATCCACAGTGGATGGTGGGCATGAGACGGCCAGGCTAGGAGAGAGCTGCGAAGCTGTGATTTGGACACTTGCCATCATAAAAGTCTAAGGTATGCATGTGTATGCACTGAAGATTAAAAAATATATATATGGATTGGGCCCAGCACGATAGCCTAATTGCTAAATCCTCACTTTGCACTCTCTGGGATCCCATCTGGGTGACGGTTCTATCCTGGTGGCCCTGCTTCCCATCCAGCTCCCTGCTTGTGGCCTGGGAAAGCAGTCGAGGACGGCCCAAGGCCTTGGGACCCTGCACCCACATGGGAGACCCAGAAGAGGCTCCTGGCTTCAGATCAGCACAGCACCAACCATTGCGCTCACTTGGGGAATGAAGACCTTTCTCTCTGTCTCTCTTCCTCTCTGTAAATCTGAATTTCTAATAAAAATAAAGCTTAGAGAGAGAGAGAGAGAGAGAGAGAGAGAGAGAGAGAGAGATGCCTGCTGAGCAGGGGCTACACAGCTGGGTACAGAGGCCATTGGGAGTGAGTATGCTTCCATTTGCCAGCTGTGTGACGCTGGACAGACAACTTAACCTCTCTGAACTTGGTTTTCCTTGTTAGCAAGATGAGAGACAATTCTCATTTCGTGGAGGGAGGTGCTGTGAGTGGGTAGAGAGTTCCAGGTGGGTGCCTGGCACAGTGCCAGGCACTCGTCAAGCAGTGGCAGGGTTGGTCGTAGGAACCTGCCTGAGAGTGCTGGCACGAGAGGCGAGCAGCACCGTGGGCGGAAGCTCTCTGTACTGCCAGCCGAGGAGACCTGCCTGCCTCTTCTCCGTGTTTAACACTGCCTTTATTACTTCTTCTTCTTCTTCGAGAGAGATCTCCTATTTGCTGGGTCACTCTCCAAATGGCTGCAAAGGCCAGGGCTGGGCCAGACCAAAGCCTGAAGCCCAGAATTCCGTTTGGTTTTTCATGTGGGTGCAGGTGCCCAAGAACTTGGGCCATCTTCTGCTGCCTTCCCAGCCACATTTGCAGGGGGCCGGATCAGAAGTGAAAATGCTGGACCTTGAATCTTGTCTCTCTGCTAAGGGATGCTGGCGTCCCAAGTGTCTGTTTAACCTACTGTGCCACAATGCCCACCCCTTCTTGCCCACTTCTTCTTGATAATAAATAAAATTGAGCTACAGCTGGACG